ACGAGATCTTATTTTTAAGACTCACCAGAGTACCCACGTAGGGGGAACTAAACTGACTGAACTTTTTCATCAAAATTATTACATTCCAAGACTTCATCACTATGCCAAGCAAACTGCGGCCTGCTGTCCTACTTCTGCTCAAATAAATGCAAAACAACAAGGAAATGCTCATTCGGGGATTCAACTATGTGGGCAGAACCCAGGGGAACATTGGGAAATAGACTTTATTGAAATAGTTCCAGGAAAGTTTGGTTACAAATATCTCCTCGTTTTTATCGACATCTTTTCAGATGGGACAGAGCCTTCCCGATTAAATCTGAGACAGCTCAGACAGTAGCTAGAAAACTAATTACCAGAAAGAGTCCACCAATTTGGCCTCCCTTTAGCCACGGGGTCCGACAATGGCCTGGCATTCATTGCCCAGATCACAAAAGCCTTAGCTATAATTTTAAAAATTACTTGGAAATTACACTGTGCATACAGGCCTCAGAGTTCAGGACAGATAGAAAGGATGAACTGAACATTAAAGGAGACTATTACTAAATTAAAATTAGAGACAGGTGAAGATTGGGTCAGCCTCCTTCCTTCTGCCCTATTGCGGATTCAATGTACTCCCTATATTAAGGGTCTCTCTCCCTATGAAATAATGTACAGGAGACCTCCACCACTCCTTCCCAAATTGGGAGAAGAAACCCTAGCTGAACTAAATAACCATTATCTTCTTTTTTTTGTATCCTCATCCGAGGACATTTTTCCATCTTTTGTCCAGATAGAGTGGGAAGGAGAGAGAGAGAGAAACATCGACGCGAAAGGGACACATCGAATGGTTGCCACCCGCACAACCCATCCAGGGCTGGAGACAAACTCCAATCGAGATATATGCCCCCAGCGGGAACCGAACCCTGGTCTCTCTGGACTGCAGGCTGATGCTCTAACTGCTGAGCCAAACCGGCCAGGGCACCATTATCTTAAGTCCTTACAGGCTCTGCAACTCCAACAGAAGAATCATCAGGTGATAAAGAGATTCTCTCCCTAAGCCTTCTTTCCAGGTGACTCAGATCTCCACAATGTTCAGCCCGGAGATTGGATCTGGATCAAGAAAATTCAGCCTGCTTCGCTGGAACCTAGATGGACTGGTTCCCTGCCTGTAATCCTCTCCATTCTGATGGCCCTTAAGATAGCCAGTTGCCTTTTCTGGATTCATCACACCCAGGTACAGAAGGCATACCCTGACCAGATATCAGAAAAATGGACCCTTCAACGGACAGACAACACTTTGAAGGTAAAATTACTCTGATCCTGATCCTTCTATTTGGGACCTCTATTTCTCTGACTCGGGGAAATCCCCACCAGCCAACTCAGTATCTATGGAGCCTTAGTCGGGCCTATGATAGACACATTGTTGCCACTAACACATCCTATGGAACTCCAAGTTTATATTTTGACCTTTGTAGCATGTTCGAAAAATTTGTCAACAGACCATAATCTGAACCTTCTAGTCAGCTCCTATTCAGGCATAAGCGCAGATGTCTGTGGATGTGAAAACCTGAAATCTGACTGTGGGGCTCTAGCTAACTTCTACTGCGCAGCTTGGAGCTGTGTGACCTTGGCATAAAAACGATGATCCCAACATTCGATTTCACCGTCTGATTATAACCCGACCTGAGAACTGCCCCAAGCTAGGAAACTGTAACCCAGCAATGATAACTGTCAAAAATTCCAATGACCCCACAGGAAAAATTTGGGGACTATGTTTATATGTATCAGGGAAGGACCCAGGAACTGCTTTCACTATTCAGAAGATTCCCATTAAACATACACCTAAGCCTATGGGTCCTAACCTAGTCCTCAACACTCTGCTAGACCAGGGCCACCCTCCTCATCTAGTTACCTCTGAACCGATCAGCTCTGTTGAGCCCCGGATGATACCCCAACCCTCAAGCAGGCCCCTTCTGAGCACCCTGGAGACTGTCTTTAGATTGGTAAATAACACCAACGCGAGACTGTTGGTTTTGTCTGAACCCCTCACCACCTTATTATGTTGGAATTGCATGTAACAATACTCTGGTGAGAAACCTGTCTATTGAAGACACCCTAAAGGAAAAAAACACGTAAACGGGGCCATCAACCAAACCTTATACTTGGGGATTTACAAGGACGAGGACTATGTTTCAAATCCCCTGATTATGATATGGACAAATCACCTCACCAAGAGTCTTATCTATTCCTATGTCAGAGAACTTCCAAGAAGACGAAGGCACCAGATTACTTGTAGCCCCAGAAGGAACTTGGTTCGCCTGCACTACCATACTAACTCCCAGTATTAACTCATATACTGATGATTTTGGACTATGTATTCTAACTTATGTAATCCCACAGGTCCACTTTTACTCCAGTGAAGGCGGGCGCGAACATTTTGGAATCTCAGCTGGAAGGGAAAAACGGGCAACACCCATATTAGTTCCACTCTTAATAGGCTTAGGAATAACAGGCTCTGCAGCCATTGGTATGGCAGCACTAGTCACAGGAGACCAGAATTTTAAGGCACTTAGTAAACAGATCAAGACTCTCAGACCTGGAAAACTCTATCACCTATTTAGAAAAGTCCCTAAATTCCCTAGCTGAAGTAGCATTACAGAATAGACAGGAACTTGATCTCCTCTTCTTAAAACAAGGTCTATGTATGGCTCTAAGTGAGACCTGCTGTTTCTATGCTAATCACTCTGGAATAATAAGAGACAGTTTGACTCTAGTTAGAGAATTAAAGATAGAGAAGAATGAAGAAAATCAGGAAGGAACTGGTTTGACGGTCTATATAATTGGTCTCCATGGTTAAGAACCCTCCTATCAGCAATAGCAGGACCTCTTCTATTATTACTCATAGGGATACTTATTGTTCCTATAATTATTTAATTTTTTTTTTCTTTATGGATTTTTAGAGAGAGTAAGGGAGAGGAAAAGAGAAATAGAAACATCAATGAAATAGAGCATTGATTGGCCGCCTCTTGTATGCCCCCACTGGGGATCGGGCCCACAACCTGGGCATGTGCACTGACCGGGAATCGAACTGGTGACCTCCTGGTGCATAGGTTGAGGCTCATACACTGAGCCACACTGGCCAGGCGGCCCCATAATTATTAACTGTTTAACTAAATATATCAGAGAAAGAATCCAGACAGTGAAATTTATGGTCCTAAGCACCCATTACTGTTGTGGCGTGAGAGAACCAAGAGACCACCAGAGCCAAATTAAAGCTGAATAGAGATCAAAGCCAGCAGGTGACTGATCCCAAGTTCTCCAGAGGAGATTTGGAGATCAGCCCCGACTTTCACCTACATTTTTTTTTTTTGGTACGTGCCCCTAGCGGGAACCAACCCCAGGACTCTCGAGGGTCCACAGGCCGACACTCCAACCACTGAGCCAAACCGGCCAGGGCACCACCTACGTTTTTATTTTATAGGGGGCTTGTTACAGATTTCTGCACCTGGCATTTCATGATGGCCTTGGGGGAGAGCAAGCAAGCAAGTACAGAAGCAGAGACAGTTGGCTGTAAGCAAAGACGAAGACGGGAGGGAGCGGCGTCGCGTCAGCACACATCTATGGTCAGGGTTATCCTGCTATTCACTCTATTTTCTAAGTTCTAAAAAACAAGAAATTCGAGTAGAGGACAAATTTGCTTAGAGGACAGCCAGGCCAGCTGGCACTTCCTCAGTTTGTCTCTGAAAGCTCCACAGTCGGCCTCTTGTATTATTTCATCAGGGCAAGGTGATACCAGCAGGCCAGCACATTACCAAACAGTTCAAAATTTAGAAGAGGTAACAATGATTTGATTCCCCTGAAAACCAGTGGGGAATGTGCTAGCCTACTTGTCACATCCCACCCTGATTAAATAATTCAAAAGGCCGACTGTGGAGCTTTTGGGGACAAGCTGAGGAAGTGCCAGCTGGCCTGGCTGTCCTCTAAGCGAATTTGTCCTCTAAGTGAATTTCTTGTTTTTTAGAACTTAGAAAATAGAGTGACTAGCAGGACAACCCTGACCATAGATGCGTGCTGAAGCAGCTCCCTCCCCCTCCGCATATTGCCAACTGCCTCCGCTTCTGTACTTGCTTGCTTGCTCTCCCCCAAGGCCATCAAGAAATGCTGGATGTAGCAATGTGTAACAAGCCTCTTATAAAATAAAAATGTAGCTGAAAGTCGGTGCTGATCTCCCATAACTCTCCTCTGGAGAACTCAGGATCAGTCGCCGGCCGGCTTTGCTCTCTATTTGGCTTTAATTTGGCTGGGTTCTCTCCAGCCACAACACTTATGACTGAGTCCTCCGCTGAGTGCCTTACAAAACCACAAGCATGGAAACTAGGCTACTTAACTGAAGTCAACTCCTTTCTGACCAGCTGATCCCGCACTACACACCCTGGCGGTTTTTTAAAAAAAACAAACCACACAAAAACAAACAGAAAACCACCTGGGGCTGAAACCCCAGGGAACCATAAAGATAAGGGGATTAATGATGGCCTTAGGAAACTGGGAGGGGCCAGGAAAAGAAAGATGAATGGTTGTCTTACCCTGATCTCTGCAACAGCTCCTCTCCTATCAGGTCCTCCCTTAACGCACCAAAAGCGGCCCCAGGAGAAGGTAACTTCTTAAGCAGGCTGGAAGAATGCTCTCAGCTGTTAATTGGGAAACGCAGGCCCTGCAGCCCGCGGGTGAATGAAGCGCTCCTCCCTGTTACAATGATGAGGCTGTGCCTCTCTGATGGTCTCGCTGGCTCCTCAACACATGCCCCAGACACCAAGACGGGCCCCGCCAAACCCGGGCCTCCCTCCGCCGCTCTCAGCCCCTGAGCGCGACCCATACGGACCTCACACCCTGACTACGGGGGGCGGCTCGGCTCCTTCAGACTCTCAGTCCCTGCCTGTGAGAGGCGCCGGCACGAGCGCCCAGCCTCCTCCGTGACAGAACCCGAGACAATATCCCCGCCGCGGTCCGAGCACCCAACTCACCCGATCCCGAGCCTCTCCGGGCACCACCGGCAGTGACCGAAGGCTGAGCCCACGGCCGAAGCCCCTTCCTCCGCGGTTACGCTCCTCCGCGGTTACGCTCCGCCGCAGGACCAAGGAACGCCGACCGGCTCCACCCGCCGAGGACCGCCCGACGTTGCCACACTTCCGAGTTCCGACCGGAAGAGGGGGCCGCCCTGTGACGTGACGCGACCACGCCCACGCCGGCGTTTGTGACCGGAGCGGCCATAATGGCTGCGGGAAGAAGCCGCTGTCATTCCTTGGCCCCCTCGATGCTTTTACTTCCGGGTCGCGAGGGACGGTTAACATTGCCTTGTTATCCGCGTGACATTTTTCAGAGGCGGGTGCCGTGCGGGCTGGGGAGGTAGGAAAGATGGCGGCGCCCTTTGTGCACGTGGAGCCGACTTCACGCTGAGGCACCATGGGCGCGGCCATCTTAGACGGAGGCCGGTGTCCGTACGGCGGAGTTGGCTGAAATATCCGGTGGCTTGTGGAAGCCAAGGTATCACCGGAGAAGTGGCGGTCACGGACTTGACAAAAGAGTGGGCATTTAAAAGCTTAGGTCTGCGGTCAGGGGGGTTGTGTGTGGAGTGCATAAGGCCTTTGTAGTTTAGAAGGAAATAAGGCAGCCCTTGAAAGAGCGAAACCAAAGGGGCGGAGTGCCATCAAAATGATAATACCCTCACGGGAATGGGCACAAAGCTCCCTCTAGTGGGGAAGGAAGTGAAGTGAAAGTGCATGTACGTGTTTCCTTCCAAAAATAAAGATGGGGCATATGAGAATATGAAATTATGAGACAACACAGTTATCATACTTCGTATACTTCCCAGCTAAAAGAGAACACATTTTAAAATGTTATTTTTATGCAGGCAGGAGAGGTCTACAATCAGATTTAAGTAGATACTTCCTTTACAGAAGGCAACCTGGATCCATTTAAAATTTTTAATTTTCATTGACCCACCGATTCTAATTAAAACAGTTTATTTGGTAAAATGTTTTTGCTATATTAACTAGGACGGCGTTTGTCATTTAAAAAAAGGAAAAACCTAAAAATACTCATATTGAGGACAAAAACCAGATGGACAGAACAGCATGTACATATATTATGACCCTGTTATGGGAACAGGTCATAAATGTTTGTCTTTTTGAAAATTGTGACTGGCTAAATAAAACATTTATACTTTGAATTACTTTAGGATTTGTACACATGGGTAGAAAATATCAGAGCCCTGGCCAGTTGCGCAGTGGTTAGAGCGTCGGCCTGCGGTCCAGAGAGACCCTGGTTCGGTTCCCGCTAAGGGCTCGTACCTTGGTTGCAGTTTGTCCCCGGCCCTGGTTGGGTCGTGAAGGAGACAGCCACTTGATATGTATGGCCCTTTCTCGTCGATGTTTCTCTCTCTCTCTCTCCCTCCCTCCCACCCTGTCTTTTTGTAATTCTCCATTGTAATATATTTTATAATTATGTTATTTTAGTATTATAAAAGAAGTTGAGTTTAAAAAAGTTTTATGTTATTTAATGATGTTAGTGTTCATCATATAGTTAAAATAAAATGGTCTAATTTTTCATAAAAATATACTTTCATGCATTTGAAAATTTTGGAGGAATATATTAATACTTGGCTCTTAGGTACAATTATGGATGATTTAAAATTTCTTCATTTGCTTATATATGTTTTCTAATTTATATAAATTAGTTTTTTACAATTTCTTAATAGTAAAAGTATTATATTCCCTTCAGATATTAAATTCAGTCCTATTCACCTGGGATATTAAGCTCTGAAAGGTGAGTTCAACATCTGGTCCAAAGAGCTCAGGGCAGCAGAAGCCCATTCTGGGACCCTGATTGATCAATTTCAGGAATGAGTTGATGTGATGTTGCCACAGCAGCATGTGTAGGTTCACAAGACAAGAAGTGGAAAGGATCTGAGGGCCTGGGTGGTGGAGCACTCATGTCTGATTCTTTGCTATAGAATATCTGCCCAGAACCCATCCTGATATAGTGTGGTGGTGGTGGTGGGAACATTAATCCAGGATTTAAGACAGAGATATTCAAGTTTAAATATACATGGGAAAGCTCATTTTACAAATCCAGACTCCTGCACCTCAGTCCCAGAAATTCCGGTTTGGGAGGTCTGGGGTGTGACTCAAGAATTTGCATCTTTTACAATCTTATTGGAGAATCTTGAGGCAGGAAAGCCAGAGAAAACACTTAGAAACAGTCCTGAAGTATTTCTGACTTACAAATATGAGGGCTGGCTCCCCTCAGTACACTGGTGTAGTTCAAGTAATATCTGCCCAGAAAAGCCTTCCTTGACACTCTTACTAAAATAGCTCCTCCATTACAATCTATGTAGGCTTTGTATTTCTTCATAGCACTTACCAGAACTGACATTCTATTATGTATTTCATTTACTCAGTATCCTTCACTACACTATATGCACCATAAAGGCCATGACTTTGTCTGTTTTGTTCACTAATAATACCCAGTGTTGACAATAGCGCCTAGAAGAATGCAGATGCTCAAAAAACATTAAGGAGTGAATTACTCAATATGGAGTTGGAGATTGAATTCTGCCACAACACTGTATATAAGCAGATGTCCACTTCTTTTGTTATAAGCAGAACTTAAGCAGAACTCACCATTTACTATTATTCTTTAACTTTTTGTCCTTCTTTATTGATTTGAGAGAGAGAGGAGAGGGAGAGATAGAAACATCGATGAGAGAGAACATCCATTGGCCACCTCCTCCACTGGGGATTTGGCCCACAACCTGGGCATGTGCCCTGACAGGGAATTGAACCAGTGACCTCTTGGTACACGGGTTGATGCTCAACTGCTGAACCATACCAGCCGGGCATGACTCACCATTTATAAACTGGATTTAATATCCTTATTACATGAAGGGAAATATTCTCAATAGAGATGAGAGAAAAAGAAAGAGTCCTACTGTTAGGAAGACTAAGAACTTGTTAGTAGACCTGTTCAAAAAGAATTGAAAACAGAAGTTCTGTCAAAAAGGAAGTAACAGAAGGAAACATATGTAACCTCAGGAATGAAGAAAAAGGAACGGAAAAGGTATATATATGATCAAATATAATAGGATGGCGCTGGCCGGGTGGCTCGGTTGGTTGGAGCATCATCCCCTACACCAAAAGATTACGGGTTCAAATCCCAGTCAGGGCACATACTTAGGTTGCAGTTCGATTCCCAGTCAGGGCATGTATGGGAGGCAACTGATAGATGTTTTTCTCTCTCCCTTTCTCTCTCTTTCAAATCAATAAAAACATTCTTGGGTGGGATATTCTCCTTTTGAGTTTTTAAAATTATGTTTGATGGTTGAAAGCCAAAATGACAACTACCTGATATGGTTCTCAGTGTATGTAGGATATCATTCACTGTTAGGGAAATGGAAGTTCAGACTGTCATTATACCACACCCCAGAATCACATATGACAATGTTAAGTGCTAGGAAGGACATGGAACAATGGAAGAATCTATTCACTGCTGGTGGGAATGTAGTAAATCAGGACAGCCACTGTAGAAAAGTTTGGCAGTTTCTTATAAAGTTAAGCACTAACTTAGCATATGACTCCTCAGTATTAATTCCAGAAAAACAAAATTGGGTACATAAATGTCATAGCATCTTTATTCATAACAATGAAACACTGGAAACAACCTAAATGTCCATCAACAGTGAAAAGATAAACAAACCATGGTACATCCATATATAAAAACAATACTCAGTAATAAAAAAGGAAAACTGTTTATACACCCAACAAATTGGATGGATCTTAAAAGCAATGTGCTGAGTGGGGGGAAAACAGCCTATCTCAAAGGTTATATACATTCCATTTTAAGAGCATTCTTGAAATGACAAAATTAGTGTTATGGAAGTGGTGGCCATGGGTCAGGGTTGAGGGACAGTGTGACTATAAAGGGGTAGCAGGTGGATGTTTCTTTGGATTGGCACAATTCTGCATCCCGATTGTGGTGGGATTTACAGATATCTATATATGTGGTACAATTTCTTAGAACTCTACACCAAAAAAACAAAACCCCACACAAATGAAAGCATGAAAAAAAAACAGTAAAATCCAAATAAGGTCTATAGTTTACCTAACAGCATCGTACCAATATCATTTTATTAGTTTCAATGATGTATGATGGTTCTGTAAGATAGTATCACTGAAAAGACTGAGTAAAAGGTACTCAGGAATTTTGTATGATTTGTAATTTCCCGTGAGTCTAAAATTATTCCAAAACAAATTTTAGAAAAATCATATTTAAGGTTTTTTTAACTTATAAACCTGAATAAATACATGCAAATAAGTAGAATTACATTTATGAGTATATTCCTTTTACTTGTGAAGTACTTAGTAGATTGAAAGAGATGAATTTAGAGTTTAAGAACTGCAAGAGCTAATCATATAATGATACAAGGTGGGCAGAGAACACTTCTGTTGGAACATAACATTAAAATTTAATCAGTGTTGCCTGGCTGGTGTGGCTTAGAGAATTGAGATTCATCCCATAGACTGAGAGGTCCTGGTTTGATTCTTGGTCAGGGCACATGCCTGGGGTTGCGGGCTCGATCCCCAGCGCAGGGGGGTAGTGGGGGTCATGCAAAAGGCAGCCAATAGATGTTTCTCTCTCATGTCGATGTTTCTATCTTTCCCTTACTCACTCTCTCAAAAAAAAAAATCAGTAAAAAAATATTAATCAGCCCTGGTTGGTTTGTCTCAGTGGTCAGAGTGTTGGCCTGCGGTCCAGAGAGACCTGGGTTCGGTTCCCATTAAGGTCACATACCTCAGTTGCAGTTTGTCCTCGGCCATGGTTGGGTCGTGCAGGAGGCAGCCACTTGATGTGTCCCTTTCATATCGATGTTTCTCTCTCTCTCTTCCTCACACTCTATCTGAACAAAATATGAAAAAATTAATCAGCACTGGGCAGTTTGTTCAGTGGTTAGAGCATTGGTCTGCAGACCAAAGGGGCAGGGGTTCGATTCTGGTCAAGGGCTTGTACCTGGGTTGCAGGTTTGATCCTCGGCCCTGGTCAGGGTTATGCGGGAGGCAACCAATTGATGGAAAAAAATCAATGGAAAAAAAATATCCTTGGGTCCAGCTGGTGTGGCTCAGTGGTTGAGCGTTGACCCATGCACCAAGAGGTCGCCAGTTCAATTCCCGGTCAGGACACATGCCCAGGTTGTGGGCCCGATCCCCAGTGTGGGGCATGCAGGAGGCAGCCAATTGATGTTCTCTCTCATCAGTGTTTCCCTCTCTCCCTCCCTTCTTTTCTCTCTAAAATCAATACAGGAAAAAAAAAATATCTTTGGGTGGGGATTAACCAAAAAAATTAATTAATCTGTGTTAAGAATTGCCTACTTTAGCCCAGACTGTGTGACACAGTGGTCGAGGGTCGACCCATGCACCTAGAGGTCGCCAGTTCGATTCCCGGTCAGGGCACATGCCCAGGTTGTGGGCCCGATCCCCAGTGGGGGTATGCAGGAGTTGGCCAATTGATGTTCTTTCTCATCTATGTTTCTATCTCTCTCTCCCTCTCCCTTCCTCCTCTCTCTCTCAAATCAATAAAGAAAAATATTTAGCCTGGCCGGTGTGGCTCAGTGGTTGAGCATCAACCCATGCAACAAGAGGTCACTGGTTTGATTTCTGGTCGGGGCACATGCCCAGGTGGTGGGCCTGATCCCCAATCCTCCTGCAGAAGGCGGCCAATCAATGTTCTCTTTCATCGATGTTTCTATCTTTCTCTCCTCCCTTTCTCTCTCTCTAAAATCAATAAAGAAAAAAAAATTAAAAGAAAAATATTTAAAAAAAAGAATTGTCTACTTCAAATTTATGGAATCATTGAAAATATGGTTCAAGGTATCCTGTCTCTAAATGGACATCAGGTATATAAATTTACACTTGACTTAGAAAACTCAAATATACATCATTTTCATGAAGCTTCTTTCCTTCATGAATTCTGTTATTTTGCTGGTCACTCTATATTGTGTTCTTAATCATTTTATTTCTGTATGAATTCATACAAAATGATTAATTCTGCTATAGTCTTTGCCATCTGAAAAGTAGTATTCTTTAGCATGAATATCAGGTAACTATTGAGGTTTATTTCTAGGCAAAGATTTTCCCATGATCATAATATCGCTACTATGTGTGAACTCACTGATAATCTATTATGATCACTAATGAGATAGTCTTTATTCCCTTCCCAGTCTTTCCATTCATAATAGTTATATTATATATACTTTTAAGACATACAGTTACCTAGAAATGTTTCCTCAAGACTTTCCTGCATTGACTGCATTAGAATTTCCCCCCTACATGTTAATTTTGACATCTGGTGTGAGGTAATTTATCACTGAAGGCACTAGCACATTCTTTGCATTCATTAAAATTCACTCCTATGCAAATACCATAATTTCCCAATGGGAGAAAATCTAGTAACAGGCTAATGTACACTGTATTCAGGCTAATGTACTATATTCAAGTATGCTAGGAGTGTACTGCACTGAACTATCATGGTTTGTTCCTTGCACGAGTTCACTTGTATTTAATGAATTCTGACTCTGCAAAGAATTATGTACCTTGACCTACACATTTGTTGTGTGTATTAATAAGGCTTGACAAATGAGAGAAAGGTTACCCCAATCATTGAATCCATAGAGTCTCTTGTCTTTTAGAAATTCATGTATGGTGGGTGCTGAATTCACTTTGAAGGCTTTCTCACACTAATTGCATACACACAGTTTGTTTCCTGTGTCACTTCCCTGGTGGGTCATGAGATCAATACTGTATGAATGGAATTTTCTGCAGTCAGTACATATAAAAAGTCTATCCTGTGTGAAGTCTCTGATGTTGTACAAGGCATATTATTTTCCTGAAGGTGTGAGTAGACTATATTCATTGCATCATTAGGGTTTGTTCCCATTATGAATTCTATGATGTACAAGGAGATTTCTCTTTGAAGAGAAGCCTTTCCCACACTCACTGCACACGAAAGGTTTCTCTCCTGTATGAGTTCGTTGATGGACAATTAGACGACTTTTCACAGCAAAGCCTTTCCCACATTCATTGCATGCGTAAGGTTTCTCTCCAGTATGGATTTGCTGATGTAAAATGAGCTCAGTTTCCATGGCAAAGCCTTTTCCACATTCACTGCACATATAGGATTTCTCTCCTGTATGAATTTGCTGATGTACAATGAGATAGCGTTTCATGGTAAAGCCTTTTCCACATTCACTGCATGAAAAGGGTTTCTCTCCAGTATGAGTCCGCTGATGCACCACAAGATTGCTCTTAAAGGCAAAACCTTTTCCACATTTATTGCATATATAGGGTTTCTCTCCAGTATGAGTTCGCTGGTGTAACATCAGTCCACTATTCACAATGAATCCTTTCCCACATTCACCGCATCTGTATGGTTTCTCTCCAGTATGTGTTCTCTGATGTACAACCAGCCGACTCTTCAAGGGGAAACCTTTCCCACACTCACTGCAGGTGTAGGGTTTCTCTCCAGTATGCGTTCGCTGATGAATGATGAGCATGCTCTTCACAGTAAAGCCTTTCCCACATTCGCCACATACATAGGATTTCTCTACTGTATGGTTTCTCTGATGCACAATGAGGTTACTCTTCCTGGGAAAGCCTTTTCCACATTCACTGCACACATAGGGTTTCTCCCCAGTGTGAGTTCGCTGATGTTCAATTAGACGGCTCTTCATGGTGAATCCTTTCCCACACTCATTGCATACATATGGTTTCTCTCCTGTATGATTTCGTTGATGTATGAGAACATAGTGCTTTGTGGTGAAGGCTTTCCCACACTCACTGCAGGTGTAGGGTTTCTCTCCAGTATGAGTTCGCTGATGTATGATGAGCATGCTCTTCCCAGTGAATCCCTTTCCACATTCACTACAGACGTAACATTTCTCTCCAGTATGATTTCGCTGATGTACAATGAGATTACGCTTCCCTGGAAAGCCTTTTCCACATTCACTGCACACATAGGGTTTCTCTCCAGTGTGAGTTCGCTGGTGTTCAATCATTCGGCTCTTCATGGTAAAGACTTTGCCACAGTCACTGCATATAAAGGATTTCTCTCGTTCATGAATTCTCTGGTGTTCATTGAGCCTGGACTTTCTGGAGAATACTTTCGCACACAGATTGCATCCATAAGGTTTCTCTCCTGTGTGAACTCTCTCATGATCAGTGAGCTGAGACTTTTTAACAAAGGCTTTCCCACATTCACTGCACACATGGGCTTTCTCTACTTCATGAGTTCTCTGATGCTTAATGATTTGGGACTTATTGCAAATGGGTTTTGAACTGACAGGGAATGTAACTTCAGGATGAAAATCACGTTTGCCATGCTGCAATGATTTTCCATCTCCATTCAATTTAGTAGAGTTCTTAGTTTCATAGATTTTACTTAAATTTGATTTCAGAGTCTTCATGTAGAACTCAAACACACCATGATTTTGCCCAAAAGAAAAAGGACTTCTGCTTTGAAGACCACTATTTCCAAATGTATTGTGTTTGCGGTTTTGTTCCATACCTTTCAGCATTCTTTGATTTTCCCAGTGACCCTGGAGATAATAATCAACTTTGCCAGTGTCTAGGAAAGAAGAAAACAATGAATCATTTCATCATCTTGTTTGGAATAAAACTGTTTATTTTACTAAAAGTTTTTTTTTTCTTGCCCTGGCAGGTTTGGCTCAGCGGTTAGAGATTCGGCCTGCAGTCCTGAGAGACCCAGGTTTGGTTCCTTCTAAGGGCATGTACCTCAGTTGCAGTCTGTCCCCGGCCCTGGTTGGGTCATGAGGGTGGCAACCACTCAATGTGTCCCTTTCATGTCGATGTTTCTCTCTCTCTTTCTCCTTCCCACTCTATCTGAACAAAAAATGGAAAAATGTCCTCGGGTAAGGATAATAAAAAAAAATTTTTCTTTATTGATATTATAGAGAGAGAGAGAGGAAAGGAGAGGGAGAGAGAGATGAAAACATCGATGAGAGAGAAAATCGATTTGCTGCCTCCTGCATGTCCCCCGGTGGGAATTTGGCCCACAATCTGGGCATGTGCCCTGACTGGGAATTGAACCGATGACCTTTTGGTACATGGGACGACACTCAATCCACTGAGCCACATCAGCAGGGCTAAAACTTTTTATTTTTAAACTTTTATTGTATTTTCCTTGGTGTTTTTTTTTTTTTAAATGGCACTTCAGTGGCAACCCTGTGATAACACTATAAAAGAAACACCATGTATAAATGTTCCTTATTTCTTACACATTGGTAAAAACACAATAATTTATACAAATCAAAAAGAAAAAGCAGTTAGTATACCATCAAGGTTATGTAGCTGACAATTTATGTAGATTGGGCTGCTTTTGGACCTTGCAAAACATGTAGAGATAGTAAAATACAAGCAAGTCATTGTTCCCAGCAAACGACAAGGTTTGGAAGAATACCATTCCACAGACCTTGAAAAGACCCAGATCCCAGGGGTAGAAGAGAAAACTAATCCAAGTGATGAGGATTATAGTAAAACAATTTTTTTTTCTTTATTGATTTTAGAGAGAGGAAGAGAGAAAGAGAAACATCGATGAGAAAGAACATTGATTGGGTGCCTCCTGTATGTCCCACACTGGGGATTTGGCACACAACCTGGGCATGTGCCCTGGCTGGGAATAGAACAAGCAACCTCTTGGTACATGAGTCAATGCTCAACCACTGAGCCACAAAAGCTGGGCAAGAGTTACATTTTTTTCTTTTTCTTTTTGTTACGTGCCTCTAGCCGCTAGGCCCTAGCGGGAACTGAACCCAGGACTCCATGGTCCTCAGGCCAACGCTCCAACCGCTGAGCCAAACCGGCCAGGGCAAGAGTTACATTTTTTCAAACTGATAGGCCTGGGGATAAATCCCTCCTGTTGATGTGCCAACAACAATCAAGGCTCAGTTACAACAGGAGTGTATACACAGCCCACATGGGGTGTACCTAAAGCACCCAGCTCACATGACTGAGGAGTTGCACCACTGGGCCCTACAGGACACCTACTACACAAGGCCATTCTACCAAGACTGGGAGATGTGACAGCTCTGCTTAATACATAGAAACAAACACAGGGAGGCAGCCAAAATGAAAAGACAAAGAAACAGTTCCCAAATGAAAAAAACAAAACAAAACAGAACAAAACTCCAGAAAAAGAACTAAACAAAATGAAGACAAGCAATCTACCAGATGCGGAGTTCAAAACACTGGTTATAAGGATGTTCAATGAACGTAGGGTAAGAGTAGAGGAACTTAGTGAGAAATTCAGCAAAAAGACAGGAAAAATAAAAACGAAGGTAAAAACACAAAAAAGAACCAGTGAGAAATGAAAGATATACTACTGAGATGAAGAATATATTATGGAGAATCAACAGTACAGTAGATGAAGCAGAGGATAAATCAGCTATTTGGAAGGTAAGGAAACAGAAATCACCCAATCAGAACAGCAAAAAGAAAAAAGAATAAAAAAAATGAGGATAGTGTAAGGAGCCTCTGGGACAACTTCAATCATACCAACATTCATACCATGGTGGTGCCAGAGGGAGAAGAAAGAGCAAGAAATTGAAAACCTATTTGAAAAAATTTTCTAACCTGGTGAAGAAAATAGACATAGAAGTCCAGAAAGTGCAGAGTCCCAAAGATGATGAACCCAAAGAGGCCCACACCAAGACACATCATGATTGAAATGCCAAAGGTTAAAGACAAAGAGAGAATCTTAAAAGCAGCAAAAGAAAAGCAGTTAGTTACTTACAAAGGAGCTCCCATAAGACTGTCAGCTGATTTCTCAACAAAAACTTTGCAGGCCAGAAGAGACTGGCAAGAAATATTCAAAGTGGTGAAAAACAAGGACTTACAACCAAGATTACTCTACCCAGCAAAGCTATCATTTAGAATCAAAGGACAGATAAAGAGCTTCCCAGACAAGAAAAAACTAAAGAAATTCATCACCACCAAACCAGTATTACAAGAAATGTTAAAGCGTCCTCTTTAAGAAAAAGAAAAAAGCCCTGGCCGGTTTGGCTCAGCGGTTGGAGCGTCGGCCTGCGGTCCTGAGAGACCCGGGTTCGGTTCCCGCTAAGGGCATGTACCTCGGTTGCAGTTTGTCCCTGGCCCTGGTCGGTTGTGCGGGTGGTGGCCACTCGATGTGTCCCTTTCACATCAATGTTTCTCTCTCTCTCTCTCTCTCTCCCCCGCACTCTACCTGAACAAAAAAAATGGAAAAATGTCCTCGGGTGAGGATAAAAAAAAAAAAGAAAGAAAAAGAAAAAAGAACAGATCAAAAATATGAATAATAAAATGACAGTAAATACATAACTAATGACAATTTTTTATTTAAAGTTTTTTTTTAATCCTCACCTGAGGATATTTTTCCATTTTTTGTTCAGATAGAGTGGGAGGGAGAGAGAGGAAGAGAGAGAGAAACATCGACGTGAAAGGGACACATCAAGTGGCTGCCACCCGCATGACCAACCAGGGCTTGGGATAAACTGCAACCAAGGTACGTGCCCTTAGCGGGAACCGAACCTGTGTCTCTCTGGACCGCAGGCCAACGCTCTAACCACTGAGCAAAACTGGCCAGGGCTAAAGTTTTTTAAAAATATTTTTGTTGATTTCTTTAGAAAGAGAGGACGGGAGAGATAGAAACATTGATGAGAGAGTAGCATCAACATTGACTGACTGACTCCTGCACAGCTCCCACTGAAGATTGAGCCTGCAACCTGGGCCCTGACTGTGAATCAAACCAGTGACCTCTTGGTGGACAGGTTGATGCTCAACCACTGAGCCACATTGGCCAGGCTTTACTGATTTTTTTAGAGAGAGAAAAAGGGGGGGGGGGAGAAGAAGGGGGGTGAGAGAGAGAGAGAGAGAGAGAGAGAAAGAAACATCAACGTGAAAGGGACATATCGAGTGGCTGCCACCCACACAACCCAACAAGGGCCGGGGACAAAGTGCAACCGAGGTACGTGCCCTTAGCGGGAACCAAACCCTGGTCTCTCGGGACTGCAGACCCACACTTTAACCACTGAAACAAACCAGCCAGGGCCCTCCCATCTCTTTATCCTTACTTCAACTCCCTGATTTGTCCTTGGGCCCCATATTCTTATAGAGCTCCTGTATGTACATACATAATGAATTTGGTTATTTCCTCCTGTTAACCTGTTTCATGTCAACTTGGTTATTAGCCCATCCAGAAGAACTTAGAAGGGTAAAACAAAAATTATTTTCCTCCCCCACACCTGCCTTCTTGGTTCTCCTCACTCACCTGAACAGACTTTACTGTGGAGTTCATCCTCTATTGTCCAGGGTTCTTCCCCTCGTTCCAACTTGGAGAGAACATCTGGTTTGCTGACTTGATACCCTGTTCATAGGAAATGATGGAAGACTTGGGTTGGGGTCTGTCAAACTGAGAATGTTATGTTTAAGGGACTAGAGAGTTTGCACATGTCAGACTTTTCTCTCAGGAGAAGGCATATATGACATTGGGATACACATTTTGTCTTTGTCCTGGTTCCTGGCATAGAGCTCCTACAGCCCTTGTAATTCCTAAGTGAACAGCATAATAGGAATATCTTTTTTTGATAGTCTAAGTTCCAGTTCCTGACACCAGAACTTCTAATACCCTATACTCTCTAGAATGACGAATGTCTTCGGTATGCTAAGGAGATGACTGGTGACTGGAGGCCCCTAGACAGCTTCAGGGTGAGGGCTGATCCAGAAAGACAAAGATATGATTAGAGGGCTGGAACCTTTAGCTCCAAACCTCCTCACTGTTGAAAGAAAGGGGGCTGGAGGTAGAATTAATAATTACCAATGGCCAAGGATTTAAGTAATTACATAACGGACCTTCCATAACAATCCCTAAACAACCAGGTGGGAGAGCTTCAGGGTTGCTGACTATGAGATACTGGGAGTGTGGCATGCCTGGAGAGGGCATGGAAGGTCCACATCCCTTTTTCCACACTTTGCCCTAAGCATCTCTTCCATTTGGCTGTTCCCAAGTTTTTTACTTTATAATAAACTGATGATGGTAGTAAGTGCCTTATTGAGATCTATGAGTCATTCTGGCAAATTATTAAACCTGAGTTGGCATGGGGGATGTGGAAACAACTGATTTATAGTCAAGTTGGACAGAAGTGTGGGTACTTGAATACATAATATTTGTGACTGGAATCTGAAGTGAGGGTGTGTGTTCCTGTGGTACTGAAACCTTAAACCTGTGAAGTCTGATGCTAACGCTGGGTATTGGTGTAAAAATGGAATGGAATTGAGCCCTGGCCGGTTTGGCTCAGCGGTTAGAGAATCGGCCTATGGTCCAGAGAGACCTGGGTTCAGTTCCCGCTAAGGGCATGTACCTTTGTTGCAGTTTGTTCCCAGCCCTGGTTGGGTCGTGCGGGAGGCAGCCACTCAATGTGTCCCTTTCATGTCGATGTTTCTCTCTCTCTCTTCCTCTCTTTCCCTCCCACTCTATCTGAACAAAAAATGGAAAAATGTCCGAGGATAAAAATAAATAGATAAATAAATAATTGAATTGAATTGAGCTGCAGGACACCTAGTTGGTACTTGGAGAGTTGGAGAACTGACTGTTGGTGTAGAAAAAACCCACACTTTTGGTGTCACTTTTGTTGGTACAGCTCATAGTATATTATTTCCTTTTACCAGGAGTCAGAGGAGGTACTGAGAATCTGCCATTCAGAGCACTGCAGTGACTCTGAAGTATAAGCAGCTGGGAAATGAAAGACAATGACTGGGTGTCCTCTGAGCGACACACAGATGTCCTCACCCACTGACAGAAGGTTGCTATAGTTTTCTAACATCACATCCTGGTACAGGTCCTTCTGATCGGGGTCCAGGAGTTGCCACTCCTCCCAGGTGAAGTCCACGGCCACATCCTCCAGTGTCAGCAATTCCTGTAATAACATGGTCCTGTTTAATAGGAGTGTTTTTCTTTTACTGGTTCACACATAACATAAAGGAAGTTGGCCATGTTCATATTAAGTATGATTCTGACACCAAGTCCAATGTGTGTATGTGTGTTTTGTTTTTAAATGGTTTAAATTTATTTTTATTTACTTTAATTTTTAATTTAAAAATGTTAATACTTAGTTTATTAATATTTTTATTACAGGTGTCCCTCTTTAGCCCCTTTTACATCCTTAAAATTTTTGAAAATTGATTTTAGACAGAGAGAAGGGGGAGAGAGAAAGAGAAAGATCACTTTGTTGTTCCACTTATTCATCCATTCATTGGTTGGTTCTTGTATGTGCCCTGACCAGGGATCAAACCCAAAACCTTGATGTATTGGGACAATGTTCTAACCAACTGATCTAGTCGGCCAGGGCACAATGTATATATTTCTTATTATTTGACAAAAGATGAACACAGAGGAGATAATTAGTAAACTGGAATATTCATTTAAAAAAATAACCCAAAGTGAAGCAGCCCCACAAAGAGATGGAAAATATAAAAGCAAGTTTAATAAATATGGAGGATAAATAAGGTCTAACATAGGCCTGTATGTAATTTTTGGAAGACATTGAACAGAGAGAAGCAACACGAAGATCTCAGGAATGAAAAATTGTCAGAACTGATTAAACTTCCCATCACTCAGATTTCGTAAGCCAGCAAAGCCCGGCAGAAAACCTGCAAGTAGACACGTCTGGCTGAAACTACAGCACACCCAGTTGCAAAAGTCACATGAAAACAACCAGAAAGAAAAGATGCATTATTATCAAAAGAACGACAAAATTTACTGAAATAAAAACAATGGAAGCCAAAAAAAATGTTGTGACAAATACATGTGGTCTCTAGTTCCTGGCATAGTTTCTAAAACTCTTAGACTCTCTGGAATGATGAGTGTTTTCTGTGTGCCAATGACCTGACTGATGGCTTGGGGGGAGGAGGGGACTCCTAGATGGATTCAGGATGGGGGCTGGTGTCCAGAAAGACTCCCAACCTCCAAGAATGGAAGAGGGACTAGAGGTTGAGCTCAATTACCAATGGCCAGTGATTTAATCAATTATGTCTACGTAATAAACACCAGGTTTGGAGAGCTTCTGAGGTGGTGAACACACTGAGGTGCTGGCAGGATGGTGCTCCTGAGAGGACCTCTGCACTGTTCTCCTATGCTTTGCACTATGCAGCTCTTCCATGTGGCTATTCCTGAGTTGTAGCCTTTATAATAAACTAGAAAATGTAAGTAAAGTGCTTTCCTGAGTTCTGTGAATCATTCCAGCAAATTACCCAAACTGAGAAGAGTTGTGGGAACCCCCAAATTTATAGCTGGTCATCAGAAGCTGAGGTGACAACCTGGGACTTTTTACTGACACCTAAAGTGGGGGCAGTCTTGTGGGACTGATCTTCTAACCTGTGGGATCTGACACTGCCTCCAGGTAATTAGTGTCAGAATTGAGCTGAATTGTAAGACACCCAGTTGGGGTCTTGAGAGCTGTAGAATGGGTAGGTGTGGGAAAAATACCCACACATTTGGTGTCAGGAGTACTATGGATAAAAACAGCTCAGAAGTGTGCAATATCTTTGCTGTCTGAATCCTTTGGCCATGCAGCCTAGGCCCAAATGCCACCAGAAAATGAAATGAGACCTGCTTGTCAACTGAATGGTCAGAGAGGGAAAAACTTTGGGATAATCTATTCCTATGTTATGGCAGACATTACTACGCAGAAAAGAGAGCAGACTTGGTAGGGGTTGCAAATTCTTAACACTGCTGATCTGATCGCATTCTGAGTTATTTCATGTGAGATGCATGTTCATTTGGAAAAACAAAAAATTAGGTTCAAATACCTTTTTTTCTGTTTAAAGTACTAACCATAAAACAAGAGAACCTATGAAAGCAACAGAGAGAAGAGAATGTAAATTATGTTCACGTTACAAGCCAAAAACATCACAGAAAATAAGTAACATGTTTTGTGAGAGGAAAAATTAAAACATCTGTGTTGAAAAGATATCATGGACAAAATTAAAAGAAAGCTGACAAGCTGGGGAAATTTTTTTTTTTTTTTTTATCCTCACCCGAGGATATTTTTCCATTTTTTGTACAGAGTGGGAGAGAGAGAGAGGAAGGGAGAGAGAGAGAGAAACATCGACGTGAAGGGACACATCGAGTGGCTGCCACCCGCACGACCAGCCAGGGCCGGGGACAAACTGCAACCGAAGTACGTGCCCTTAGCGGGAACCGAACCCGGGTCTCTCCGGACCGCAGGCCGACGCTCTAACTGCTGAGCCAAACTGGCCAGGGCGGAAATATTTTTAATTTAAAAAAAGATCAGTATATAGTGGACATAAGCAACTCTTATTAATCAGTATGAAAAAGTTGTTTTCTTTTTCATCCTCACCGGAGGACATTATTGCATTTATCATTAGATAGAGCAGGAGGGAGAGAGGGAGGAAGAGAGAGAAACATTGATGTGAGAGAGACACATTGAATGGTTGCCACCCACACGACCCCAACAGGGGCCAGGGAGAAACCGCGACTGAGATATGTGCCCTTAGCAGGAACCAAACCTGGGACTCTCTGGTCTGCAGGCCGGCGCTCTAACCGCTGAGCCAAACCAGCCAGGGCTGAAAAAGTAGTTTTTTAAGTGTAAAAATGATAAGAACAGGCATTTCACAAGAGAAAAAATCCAAATGACCACAAAATATACAAGGATTTCAACCAAATCTGTGCTGAGGAAAATGTACAATAAGGCTAAAGAATATTGGGCCACTCAGATTGCTGAAAATTATTCAATTTTATAATGTCCTACTATTAAGTATTGGCAAAGATTTAAGGCATGGATGATCCCACATGTCACATACTTTTAGCAGGCACTCATCTAAATGTTTTACATAGTATAATTTATTTTTTTTAGTATGACTATGGACAAATGGAATTTTATATAATTAATATTCATCAATCAATTGCAGTCACTATTCCTTTAGAATCTAAAGGTTCTCAACCTGTGGGTCGCGATCCCTTTGGGGGTCGAATGACCCTTTCACAGGGGTCATCTAAGACATAATAGTAGCAAAATTATAGTTATGAAGTAGCAACGAAAATAATTTTATGGTTGGGGGTCACCACAACATGAGGAACTGTATTAAAGGGTCGCGGCATTAGGAAGGTTGAGAACCACTGCTTTAAATGCTTAAATTATACCATCATAGGCCAACAGGTTATGTTCTTTGAAGTATGAGTTCATTGATACACAAATGTCATAGATGTGTTTATGTACTCAGATATGTACACAAATTCACATACATTTATAAATAGGCACATATATATAGAGATACACACAGGGTTAGTGACAGCAAAATACACTAGCAAACAGTTGTTTAAGCAGTATGAGGGAACAGTGAAGAAGAACGTTATCAAGAGGGAATTTACTTTTTTGCCCATGTGCTCTCATCATTGGATTTTTTTTCTTTAAAATGTTATCTGTGAGTAATTTATATAATTATAAAAAATAAAAGCAAAGAAAGAAGAAAGTCAGAATTGGATTTGAAAATGGGGAAGGATTTTGCATTTTCCAAGATGACATAAAATTAAAAAGTAAACACCCTGGAAACAATAACTCAAGCTCTTAACAGACAAAATTTCTTGCAACTATCAAGGGCCAAATCTGAACTTTAATACCAGCTCAGCTACCTGTTGATGGAAGAACATTTGAAAGCCATGCAATCCTACCATTTTCCCAGGCCACTTAGGTTTTATTACTGGATATATCCAGATAGACACAAGGCTGAGTCCTTTGAGTGACTTTCACTGGTCCCCTGATAAAACTGTGTTCACTGAGTTTGCTTGGTCTCTTCCCACAAGGGTCTCTGAGGAACCCTGGAATAAATAGCAGTAGAAAATCTGCTTCTGTTGTTATTAAAAGTTTAAAACACTGTCCACCCCATCACCTCTAGGAAGAAATATAATATTATTCCTGAGACTAGAGTGCCATGAAATACTGACACTCCAAGGATCTGCTGTCTCCTCACAGTTTATGATACATATCACATAACTTTGCATGATTCTCTTGTTGTGTCTGCTGCCATACACATTAGTCATAAGCTGACAGTTAATGTAACCCAGAGGATCCTTCAGTTACACATTATGTTCTAATATTAGTCATTTACTCAGAATCTTATGAATACTATATTCTTGATCCTACTTTGCCATGATGTTGGAGTTAGATTCAAAGTTTATTTCACTCTAGATACTGAACTGATTTTTTACAGGCCACTACAAATCTATTAGGGAATAAAGGAGAGAATAAAACAAGTCACCTGGGCCTGGATCATTTTCTTCTGTTTTGGGAAATGGCCAGCAATTGGTATACTTGTCTTTGTCTTCTCTTGATATGCTCTAAATTTCTAGTTAGAAATCTCACTCTCCAGTCAAAAGTGTTCCCAGAAAGGACAATATCTAGGTCTTGGAACCTCCTCTTTCTTCATTCTTTTCTTATGTCTTGCCAAGACCTATGGGATGAAGAACAAAATTATTTTCAGGGTTACATCCTCCTTGCTGTGCTCTCACCTCAACATATGGTCCCCAGTATTTCCAGCTCTTTAGTTGGTTCTCTAGAGAGCCTACCTCGGGTAATGAAACACAGGACTCTGAAGATATGAGTAGCTTGAATGTGAAAGAGAAAGTAGCAAAGGAGAAGCAGCACAGCACTGTGCCTCAGTGGCAGGTAATTTTCAGAACAATTATAGAAATGAGGTCATATGGACACTGAGGAACGGTAAATATTTCCTTTAAACTATGTTGCTCTCATAACTCATTAAAAGTCTTTATATACCCTGTTTATATACATACTTTATTGAGGAACAATGAACACAGGGAAAAAGAAGAGAGAGGAGGAATATGAGCTATAAACACAACTTTTAAAAACAGTTAAAAAAAAAAGTTAAGTACTGGGAAAATAGCAGCCTTTGTATACTCATACATAGAACCTGAAAGGAAATACAGAGTAAACTTGCAGGAGAAAGATGGAAACAGAATCTTAAATAAAAAGCTTATTAATTTTAAATATGCTGAATGGCTCATCTATCCCCCAAAACTCTCATTTCTGCGGGTTGAAAGGGACTGGGTGATGTAGGCGAGCCAAAAGGATTGGAAAATTTGTGGTGGAGGAGGGACTCGGTCCAGGAGCCTGAGCTTCCAAGCTTTCTGCTGTCACACATCTCGGCACAAAAGATAGTGGCCACCCCCACCCTCCATACCACCGATTAATACCCAAATCAGACCAGATACACCCATACACTGACCTCCCTTAATAATTCCTCGACTACTGGCTCCAAGTTATTCCAGAACCTGACCCCACGGGACGCCATGGTCACTGACAAACTCCAGCCCACCCGCTGTCAGTCACCAACAGGCAGAATGACCCTCGAAGACCCTGAAGCCTGACCTCCAGACGCTCAGTGGTTGATCAGTTCAGACAGTTCATCACTGATCACCGGAGCCCCCATGACTGACCCCCAGACATCCGGATCACAGACACCCAGCAGACCGCTCCGGCTCTCCGCCCCGGCGCTTACCTCCGCCGACTCACAGGAGCAGCCACCTTCCCAGCGGCCGACCGACACACCCACGGACCGACCTGACCTCCCCCTGAGCCTGCAGCGACCTCTGCAGGGCCTCACCTACTTCCCTAGACATCCCTCGCTCCCTCCCGGCCTCCTCTCCCGGAACGTGGGACGAAGGCCACAGCGTTTCCATGGAGAGCGGAATCCGGGCTTCTGGCTTTCCTTGTGAGGTAACGCGCGCGCCGCCGCCCCCTGGGGGCCGCCATCTTGGAGCGCCTGACGTACGCAGGCCTTTGCGTCGGCCGCCTTAGGACGCGGCGGCGCGAGGCCACCGCCCGAATTCTCCCGTTTCTGGCCTGTCGGCCCTGAGAGGTAGACGGAGAGGTTTTCAGAGGCAAACATGACGTGGGAGGACATCGTTTGTTGTAGGGGACAGGGAGTGACAGCCTTCAGGACCAAGCGGGCGAGGCGTACATCCTGAGCGGCCGTTACCGCGGTAACGCCTCAGCACGGTGGAGAACTGAAAGAATTTCCGGACCTCAGCCACTTGTCTCATTGCCAAGAGATTTAGAGGCCGAATTGAAACTCAGCACGTTTGAGAGAAAAGCTGGCGCGGAGATATAGCCGTGTATGGTTAGCGCCGTTAGGCAGGAGAACTGTGGGCGCGGCCATCTTGGAAGCCCGGTGTCCGTACAGAACTAATGGTCTCTGGGGAGCTCAGCGTGGACTCGGCAGGTGGCAGTGCATTCGGAAGAACCAGCGAAGTTTGGAAAAGTGAAGTGGTATGGTGGATGCCGTGATCACAAAGTAGCAAGAAACGACAGACTAGTATGAGCATCTTTCTGGCCTCATCCTAACCAGCCCACGCACAAAACATGCTACATGTATCTAGGCAGACACTGAACTGCCTTGTCACTATAGATTAGTCTGTATTTTATGAATAGACTCTTATGTATTAACTCCTTTTATCTGGCTTCTCTCAAACAACATAATTGTTTTGAAGCATCAATAAGTTTGTTCCTTTTGTTGCTCAGTATTCCATTGTATGGGTATTCCAAAAGATCTTTAGTCGTTCATCAATTGGACCTTTGGGTTGCTTCCATTTATTGTGGATATTGAAAATTGAACTTGTATGAACATTCAAAAAATAAAATAACCTCAAAAAATTGGATTTCCCACAGTCATATGCACCTGTATCATCACCTCACCAATAAGTTTCTGCCAGCCATATGCAGGCCTACTACCCATTTCTAGCCCTGCTTCAGCTCCCATTCATAGTGGCCCCAGCTGTGAGCTAGATCCACACAGGCATCAGATTTATCCACTAGCTCACATTATGTTCATCCCCATAGGCCCTTATAATTCTCAGAATGTACCTGATAAAATCATGTAGCCACAGGTCAGAGCAGCAAGTCAGTTCCATCCTCAGACTCATTCATTAGTACCTTCCTGGGCCAGTCTCTGAAGTGAGATGCTAGAATTCTCCTTGTTTATACCCTTGGTGTGTACTACCTCACTTTTTTACAAGGTGGTCCTTGTAAAACAGATCAATTATGAAATTTTCCTGTTCTCAATTATCTAATGATTGCATCACAGAAAAAATAAGTTGAGACAGCTGAAGTTAGGTGATTAAAAACAAAATTGGAGTGAATTTACCCAATAATTCTGGGCTTGTGATGGAAATGTAAGACAGCAACTGCACAGCAAATTTCCTATTTCTTGTTCTCTAAGCAGGACTCAAGGTTTTTTAGCAGGATATCTTTATTGGATCAAGGGAAAGACTGTGTAGAGGAAAAAACAAGAGCTCCACTCATAAAAGAAGGAATGAAAAAAAAAAAGGAAAACCACATGTCCAATGAGGCATGTCACAGAGAAAATGGGATCTCTGAAAAGATGGCAACTCTTAAAAATGATAAGCCTGTGGCCCTGGCCGGTTTGGCTCAGCGGTGAGAGCATTAGCCTGTGGACCCGAGAGTCTCGGGTTTGGTTCCCGCTAAGGGCATGTACCTCAGTTGCAGTTTATCCCTGGCCCTGGTTGGGGTCGTGTGGGTGGCAGCCACTCCATGTCTCTCTCTCTCTCTCTCTTCCTCCCTCTCACTCTATCTGAAGATAAATGCAAAAATGTCCTTAGGTGAGCATTGAAAACAAACAAAAATTATAAGCCTGTGAACAAATGAGTACAAATAAGGCTCTTCTCCAACATATCCCAAGAGGATTTTATCTCCTTCATTTCTTATACTTTCCTCCCTCTTGAACCATGAACCAAGGTGCTCATGCTTTTTATTTTACTTATCCTGGGAATCCTAGTCTTTTTCTGTTTTCCTCCTTTTATATTCAGACAGACATTTAGTCTCAAAACACACACACAGTATGAATAGGAAGAAAACACTAAAATTATCATGAACTGGCAACTGCAGATAATGTTTACAGCTATATCTTTCTTGAAAGACATTCTTGTTCTATTTCTGGGGAATCAGCCTCTGTTGGGTATTCCAACCTCACCACCTTTTTGTTAACTCCCTACTTCATGATTGTTCTTTCTTAACCTACTCTATCAGATCTTTATCTTTCTAAACTGTTAGAAGATCCAAAACTTAAAAAAAAAAGAGCCCTGGCCAGTTTGGCTCAGCAGTTAGTGTTGGCCCTTGGACCAAAGAGTTGCAAGTTTGATTTGGGTCAAGGACACACACCTTGGTTAAGGTTTGGTCCCCAGCCCTGGTTGGGGTCATGTGGGAGGAAACCAATCAATGTGTCCCTCTCACATCAATGTTTCTCTCTCACATCAAATATACTTGGGTGAGAATTTTTAAAAAAAGAAAGATAGAAGAATTTTTCTTGTAGGGAAGATGATTTTCGTTCCTCAAACAAAAAGTCTGAATTCATTCAGGAGTTTCTGTGGAGACAGTAAAACATATGGTACAAGTGTGCAAATCAGAAAATCTTAAGGGAGATGTGAATTTAGGAATCTTTATAGAGAATAATAGCTTAACATCAGAATGGAGGAAAGATTTAAGTGTTATGAGAATAGAGCAAGAAATGGAAAACAGAAACTTTGGACAATTCAGAGGGGAGCAAAGATAAGTGTCTTAGTCTGTTCAGCCTACTATAACACAAAACAACAGAAATTTATTTCTCACATTTCTGGAGTCTGAGCAGTCCAAAATCAAGGCACCAGCAGATTCAGTGTCTGGTGAGGACCTTCATGACCTAATCACCTCTCAAAGTCCTCATCTCCTAAAACCATCACCTACGGGTCAGGATTTCAACATACGAATTTTCAGGGGACACAAACGTTTAGTCTATAGCAAGATGCTAAGAAACGATATAAACACAGAGATCAGGTTATGGTGTGGGCATAGCATCCAACATGGGGTTGAATGTTAGGAAGGCAAATCACTATTTCTTAATGCAGCAGGGCGATGCTCTAATTAAAGACTATGCTGAATTCAAAGATCTCTGCTTGGAACAGGCCTGGAAGGTGGAATTTCACAGTCATGAAGGTGGAAGAAGTAGCAAGAGGCATTGTGGCAATGGACAAAAAAGGAGATGATTTGACAAACCTAGAAAAAAGAGAACTTGGCAAACAACAAAAAATCCAAGATGTACATAAAATAAACAGGGATCAGATCTCAGAAGAAAAGGTGTGTTTCCCTCTAAACCACTAAGAGAAAGGTCTCAGATGGGAAAGATATGAGGAGCTGCTGTTTAGGGTTCCCCAGATACTCTCACACTGTGACACCTTCTCTGACTGCCTAGAATATGACTCCTCTGGCCACCCACCTTGCTGGTTCTCACTCACCTGGACAGGTTCGACTGGATTTTGTCTTCTTGTCCAGGGTTCTTCCCCTCATTCCAGCTTGAAGAATGTATTTGGTTTGCTGGCTTGATACCCTGTTCATAGGAAATGACAGAAGACTCCGACATATGAAATTGGGCTAGGATGTCAAGATGAGAGAATGCTGCATTTTAAAGATTCTACAGTTTTCACATCTGCAACGTAGAGGCTTTTCTCTCAGGAGAAGGAACATTATATACTCTTGTCTAGAGCCAGAGAGGGATCTGAGAGTCTACCACTTGAGAGCGCTACAGAGATTATGAAGCATCACACAGTTAATAGGAAAGGCCACTGACTGGGGGCCCTCTGAATAACAAAGGGGAGCTGTTCTCACCCACTGACACCAGGTTGCTGTAGTTCTCCAACATTATGTCCTGGTACAGGTTCTTATGATCGGGGTCCAGGATCTGCCTTTCCTTTCAGGTGAAGTCCAAAGCCACATCCTCCAACATCAGCAATTCCTGTAATAACATGGTCCTGTTTAACAGGAAGTGTTTTCCTTTTACTGATATACAGAAGGAATGTAAAATACAGAAGATATTTTCACCATACAGGCTGCATCAACACAAGCATTTAAAAATAACTTTTTTTTCTTTATTGGTTTTAGAGAGAGGAAGGGAGAGGGGGAGAGAGAGAGAGAGAGAGAGAGAGAGAAACATCGATGAGAGAGAACATCAATTGGCTGTCTTCTGCATAACCCCCAATGGGAATCAGGCCCACAACCTGGGCACGTGTCCTGAACAAGAATCAAACCAGCGACCTCTTGGTTCATGGGCTGATGCTCAACCACTGAGCCACACTGGCCGGATGATTCACAGATACATTTTACAGATAAGGTCCCAATGACTATGATTATATAAGGGAAATATATATAACATATAGAAGATTCAAATGATTACATATATACATATATTTAAATGAATAATTGATTATTAACTAAATCTCTAGGCCCTCTTCCTTCCCCAGAGTATAGGGGATGAGACTGAAAGTTCCAAGCTTCTAATCACGGCTTGGTCTTTCTTATAACCAGCCTTGATCAAAAAGCCCATCTTATTAGAAAAGAAGAAGTTTCTATCACCCCCATTACTCAGGAAATAAAACTATACATATATAGTACTATATTGTACATATATATATGTGTGTATATATATATACACACACACACACAGTTATATGTGTGTGTGTGTGTATATATATATAGATGTATATATATAAATAAAGAACTTAGACTTACTTGAAAGACTGAAGGGAAAGTAACATACATCTGGTCTGTCTCAGCTGCACAGGGATCCTGGGCCTCCAAAGCTTCTGCCTCTCAACCACAGACATACATTATGCCTCCACAGATATTGACCATATCACCCTGTAGTCAAACCTGGAAAATACACCACCATTTACTGATGACATGTGAGCTCTATTAGGTAGTCCAATATAAATTTACAAACTTGAATGGCATTTATTGACAAATACCACTGATAAATATGGCCTGAATTGTGGCCCCCAAAATCTGTATGCTCAAGTCATAACTTCTAGTACCTCAGGATATGACTGTATTATGAGACAGGGTCTTCAAAGAGATAACTAAGTTACAATGAGGCCATTAGGATGGGACCTGATCTAATCTGACTGCTGTCCTGATAAGAAGAGGGTATCAGGACACAGACACACATGAAGATACAGGAAGATAGCCATCTACAAGACAAAGAGAAAGGCCTCAGAAGAAACCAACCCCAACACCTTGATCTTGAACTTCCAACCTTCAGAACTGTAAGAAATTTCTTGTTTAAACCACCCAGTCTGTGGTACTCTGTTATGACAGCCCTAGCCAACTAATGTAACTACTCCCAACTCTAGTTATACATTACTGAGCCATACAAGGCAGAGTGACCCACTAAGACCCTAAACCCTGATGTCAGCTCTCAGTTGTTGGCCATGTATACCTGCATACAGTATATGTTACAGGTACTAAGGAGAAAGGAATGAGGATTACATGTATAGGTTGTACTGGAAGCCATATGACATATACTAAAACCAATTTAACTACAGGCTAATTAATACAAGTAAATAAGAGTTAAGCTCCTATGGCATCTCAATATTATAACAAACAAATGCTGAACAATCCCTGACTGGATTTGCTCGGTGGTTAGAGTATCAGCCCGAGGACCAAAGGGTGTCAGATTCAATTCCTGGTTGCAGGTTTGATCCCTGGCCTGGGTCGGGGCGCATTCAGGAGGCAACCAATCAATGTGTCTCTCTCACATTGATGTTTATTTCTCTTCCCCCCTCCATCCTTCCTTTCTACTTTCTTTAAAAAAATCAATGGCGCTGGCCAGTTTGGTTCAGTGGTTAGAGCATCGGCCTGCGGTCCCAAGAGACCCGGGTTCGGTTCACACTAAGAGCATGTACCTCGGTTGCAGTTTGTCCCCGGTCCTGGTTGGGTCATGCAGGTGGCAGCCACTCTGTGTGTCTCTTTCACGTCGATGTTTCTCTCTCTCTTCCTCCCACTCTATCTGAACAAAAAAAATGGAAAAATGTCCTCGGGTGAGGATAAAAACAAATACAACAACAAAAAATCAATGCAAAAAATATCCTCGGGTGAAGATTAAAAAAAAAGACAAAATGACATTGAGGACCTACTGTACAAATGTTTCCCTAAACTACATGAAAATGTAAATACATTTGAGTACTAAATAAAATTTTAAAAAATGTTTTTGATTTTTTTTTTTTAATCCTCACCCGAGGACATTTTTGCTTGAGATAGAGTGGGAGGGAGAGAGAGAAACATTGACATGAGAGCGAGACATCGACTGGTCGCCACCCACTTGACTCCAATCGGATCCGGGGACAAACTGCAACCGAGGTACGTGCCCTTAGCGGGAACCGAATTCGGGCCTCTCTGGTCCACGGGCTGATGCTCTAACCACTGATCAAAACCGGCCAGGGCTATTGATTTTTTAAAGAGAGAAACACTGATGTGAGAGGAAACATAGATCAGCTGCCTCCTGCATGCCCTCTACTGGGAATCAAGCCGACAACCCAGGTATGTGCCCTGACCAAGAATCTAACCGGGACCTCTTAGTCCATGGGACGCTCAATCCACTGAGCCACAGTGGCCGGGTGAGTGCTAAATAACTAAAAATGCAGTTAATATTTGGCAAGCAGCACACTTAATAACAGCTATAATTTTTATGAAAATGAGGGATGAAGCAGATGACATAAGTTGGTATGTACTTCTTAAAGAGGTTAAACTGAAATTATCTATACCATGAAATTATTTACCTGGAATGTAAACCTTTGAAAGGCAAGTTCAGCACCTGGTCCTCAGGGCTCACGGCAATCCATTCCGGGACCCTGCCTGACAATTTCAGTGAGAAAGATGCTGTGACTGCCATTAAAGGATGTAAAGATTTGCAAGACAGAAGTAGAGGATCTGCAGTCTGAGTTGAATCCACTTCTGATTCTTTGCTGAAGAGCACTTGTCTTGAATGTATCCTATTAGAGGTCATTATTTTGCATATTTTGTTCACCAGTGTATCCTGTGTCAACAACAGTGCCAGGTTGATGCTCAAAAAAATATGTTGTAGTGAATTACTCAAAGACCCAGAGTTGGGAATTCAATTACAAGACAGCCACTTCATGGTAAATTTCTACTTTTCCTTATAAGCAGGGCTCACTTTTTAAAGCTGGATATTTTTAATGGATCAAGGGAAAGAATCCTAAGTATATAGAGAGGACAAGGACCCCATTCTTAGGAGGACTGATAATCACTTGTCTCAATTCATCACATCAGAGGAACTGGGATCTTTGAAATGGTGGCAACTCTAAAAGGTGATAGACCTGTGGACAAATGTAAGGGGTTTTCTCTAAAGCATCCAAAGGATTTCACCTTCTGTCCTCCAGTTTTAGAGTGAAGTTATTTTCTTCCACTAATTGGGCTTATGCTTCAGATCCTATTCTTTCTCTGATCTGCCCCTTTTATACTCTGACAGAAGCCTCTTTTCAGAATTAGGAAAAAAAAAAGTTTCTTAGAATACTGATCCTTATAAAATTTAAAAAAATAAATATTTGAAAAGAAAAAATACTGATCCTCAGACTTTCTTTTCAATAGCTCCATTCTTTCAGTGACAAAAATAATTTTGACTAATTAGTCAAATCGTTAGTCCAATTGCTCATTCATTCATTTTTCAACTCTAAATGTAATTCATTTTTTTACTATATGCTGAGAAATATACAATTATCTATAAACTATATCAAGAAATTTATTCTCTGGGCAGAAGACATGAACATTTTTTTAAAAGTATCCATACCCTATTTTATGTATGTAAAATTAAATGAATCCCTACCCTCCTACAAATAATATGCCTCTTGAACAAGAAATTATCAAGATATTTCGTTTCTTTTACTGTATTATCCCTTTCAACTAACATAGGTGTATGCATCCTTTGATTACATTTGCTGGAGGGTAAAACTGCTATATGTATGAAAACTACCTTTCAAAACATTGCTAGCAAGCAGAGTTAAGGAAGCTGGGGAGGAAGGGGGAACAGAAAAAGAAAAAAACTTGTTAGCTCAAAGTTGCAAGAATTTTATGTTTAGTTCATCACTGTCATCATCTATAGGTCCTAGAATAGTACGAAATAAAGGAAATAGTTTTAAAAGTTTTTCTGAGTGGTGTGTGCACAGGATAAGAACTATCTTTTGGGCAAAAACTTGGCTGACAGGTTATTCATGAGTTTTGTGCTCTGTTACCCGGGGGAATATTTATAAAGTTAACACATCCAAACATGCTGTTATACTATAGCATTAAATGCATTGTTTCCTTTTGAAGGACTTCAGTCATCTACAATACAAATTGAATAAATTTAGAACTGAAGAAATCCAAGAGCTAACCATATAATGTTGCTATGTGAGAAAAAAGACTCATGACCCCCAACAGGTGGAGGGTGAACTGTGCTGTACCTTAACCAATGACGTGCAACACAGACAACTTCCTTTAAATTAAAGAGTCCTGACAGATATTTCAACAAGGAGTCTGATTCAAGGTATATTGTCCTAAAATGTACACTATGTCTATTATCTGATGTGTAATTATCTTAGAATTCTGACACATGTCCCTAAAACCTTCTTTAGCTTCACAGGCTTTATTTGCTTCGTGCATTTTCTGGTATTTTGCTGAAGATGTTCCACAGTTAGTGTGCCCAGAGGAAGAGGCAAAATGTATGACTGTCAACCCTGCCACAACCACTGCCTTCAAAGGTCCACCAATTTCTCTCCTGTGTGAACTCTCTGCCACCTACTGAAGTCTTGTTTCTGGAAAAGGACTTCCCAGGTTATTATATTTCTACCAACAATGAGCTCACTCATGACATGTGACACATGAAGAGGCACTGATAGGGCCTACTGTGCCATGAAAGGCTCTCCCAGTCTCTGTAGGTACACTTGTCTCAGTATTCACTTGTCAGCCATATAATGAGCTAGAAAGTTTTATTCAAGGGTCTTCCACCTTGATTGTATCACAGTTTACTCCTGTGTGTTTTTTGTAACATACAATATGACATAATTGGTTACTGAAGGTACTAGCACACTCACTGCATTCACAAGGTTTCTCTGTGTCAATTCTGCTATCTGCTGAGGGTGCGCCTCTGGCAGGTGGCTGTCCAATAGTGGCCACGTTCCTATCGGCCAGGAACTCACTGATGTGTAATGAAATCTGAGCTGCCACAGCAGGCATCTTCACAGTCACCCTATCAACAGGGGTTTTCTCCTGTACACTGTCACTTGAATGTGATGAGCTGTGATTCTTTGAAAAAGGGTTTTCCAACTTGACTGAACCTATACATTTCTCTCTTGCATGCAACATTCCCTTGTGATATACCAGGCATGACAAGTGGGAGAAGGCTTTCCCACAATCAGAGCACCCATAGGGTCTCTCTCCTGTATGAGTTCTTCGATGTCTATTGAGGCATGACTTATCTCTAAAAGCTTTCCCACAGTCACTGCATGTATAGGGTTTCTCCCCTGTGTGAATTCTCTGATGGTTAATGAGACCTGACTTGTGTGAACAGGATTTTCCACATTCACTACATACAAAGGGAGTCTTTCCAGTGTGAAATCTCTGATGTGATATGAGGCAAGTTTTCTGGCTGAAGCCTTTTCCACAGTCAGTGCATACATAGGGTTTCTCTCCAGTGTGAGTCCGTTGATGTATAAGGAGATTGCCCTTCTGGATGAAGCCTTTGCCACATTCGTTGCATATATAGGGTTTCTCTCCAGTGTGAGTTCGCTGATGTACAATGAGATTGCCTTTCTGGATGAAGCCTTTCCCACAGTCACTGCATATATATGATTTCTCTCCTGTATGAGTTTTCTGATGGGCATTGAGCTGTGATTTCCAGCGGAAGGTTTTGTCACATTCCGTGCATTCATAAGGTTTTTCTCCTGTATGAGTTCTCTGATGTTCAGTGAGCCTGGACTTTCTGGAGAAGGCTTTGTCACACAGACTGCATCCATGAGGCTTCTCTCCTGTGTGAACTCTCTGATGATTAATGAGCCGAGACTTCTTGATAAAGCCTTTTCCACATTCACTGCAAACGTAGGGTTTCTCTCCTGTGTGAGTTTTCTGATGAGCAAGTAGCCGCGATTTCTTGGGGAAGGCTTTGTCACATTTGGTGCACTCATACTGTTTCTCTCCTATATGAGTTTTCTGATGTTCAGTGAGCCTGGACTTCCTGGAGAAGGCTTTCCCGCATATGCTGCATCCATGAGGTTTCTCTCCTGTATGAACTCTCTGGTGATCAATGAGGCGAGACTTCTTGATGAAGTCTTTCCCACATTCACTGCACACATGGGGTTTATTTATATTCTTCTCAGTTCTTTGAGGCTTAATGAATTGTGAGTTTGTGTTTATAGAATTTCCACACTCAGAAAATTTTATTCCGGTATGACACTGCTCACGCTTATGGAGGAAAGATTTCACATCTCCATTAACATCAACTGGGTTCTTTACTTCACAGCTTCCATTCTGGCTGACCAAACTTATACTTGATTTTAATGCTTTCCCATGCAAGTCAACTATATCATGATTTTGCCTTAGAGGAAAATTATTTTTTCTCCAATGAACAATATTTCCAAATGCATTATGTTCATGGCACTGTTCAGTTCTCTTTAGACATCTTTGATTTTGCAAGTGCCCCTGTAAGTGACCAGCATTTCTCTTGATTTCTAGGAAAGAAAAGAAGAATGAATCTCTCCATGAGCTTGGTATAGACTAAAACTATTTCACAAACAACTCTGTGTAAATTGGTGTTTTATTGATAACACTATGATCTCAGTTTTAAAAAACTCCAAATAAATGTTTGCTGTCACTTAGACAAGGGTACAATACAATAACATAAACAAAGAACATAAAAGGTAAAATGTCATTATATAAACAAAGTTAGTTCATTCAAAATGAGCAAATACAATATTTGGTTGCTTTCTAAATATGACCTCATAAAGCATACTGAGATAGTAAATGAAAATCAAGTCACTACTAACATGTGAGCATAGAGATAAGTATTTCTTTCAAAATGATGTGGGACATCACACATCCATAAATCCTTATTAAATGATTACTATGTACCAAGCCTTGTGCTGGTCATGAGCATATAAAAACATTCCTTATTTTCACTGAGCATACATTCTGTTTAGGAAAAACTAAACAAGCAAGCAATGATAAAGAAGGCAGGTACAGCCCAGCTGGTGTGGCTCAGTAGTTGAGCATCAACCCATGCACCAAGAAGTCACTGATTACATTCCTGATCAGGGCACATGCCCAGGTTGTGGGCCAAATCCCCAGTGTGGGGCATGCAGGAGGCAGCCAATCAATGTTTCTTTCTCTCTCTAAAAATTAATAATAATAAAAAAAATATTAAAAAGAAGGCAGGTACAAATTGTGGAAAGTGGTTTGAGGGAGCAATGGGGAGCAAGTTGGAAGAAATCAGGATATAACCTGAAGAGAGGAAAAAGACGAGGTTCACTCAAAGTTTCACTATGGAGCGATTAATAAACATGAGGAATCAAGTAGTATTCCTAAGTATTTGACTTGGGCCAGTGAATAGGTAGGTAGTACCTTTTCACGAGAAAGGGAGTATTACTGAAGTTTGCAAAGTGGGGAAATCAAGTGTACATTTCAAAGCATATTGACCTTCAGGTGGCTTTTAGAACCCAATAGAGACATGAAGAACTCAACTAGATACAGAAATCTTGAGAAAGGTCTTAACTGGAGATAGCAATGTATTATTAATATATAAAGATTATATAAGAACACAGGACTGAATGATACCATGTTTGAAAAAAATGTGTAGACCAAAACTTGAAGGCATGGGATCAAGTTTATAGTTAGTGTAACATTAAAATTTGGGTTTTAAAAATTCCACTGAGAAGCACCAACCACTGTCTATACTGTTAAGGGAAATAAACATTCACACACTCAGGAAAACTATCAGGGTTTCATGCCAGGAACCAAATATGTATTTCTTTCTTTTTTTTAGAGAGAGACAGGAAGGGAGAGAGACAGAAACATCAATGTGAGAGAGAGATCAATCGGCTGCCTCCTGCACGCCCCCACACTGGGGATCGAGCCTGCAACCTGGGCATGTTTTCCAGGACCTCTCAGTCCATGAGACGATGCTCAATCCTATGAGCCACACTGGCTGGGCCAAATATACATATTCTTTTATCACAATATCACACTAGAGAACCGTCACCTTTTCCAGTCATATGTTGTCATTGTTCACATGCAATATTTAAACTGATCGCATTTCAATATGATTCCTAAATCCATATCTGATGTAATAATCCCCAAACCCACATCTTGGCACTAACTGAATCTTCTTTTAAAATTCCACTCAGAGATCTGGGTTTCCATCATTTAAGGGGTCCTAAGGGATCACACTTCTGACCAAACCAAGACTCTTGGCATTTTTGCCTTTCATTTTTCTTCCTTTTCTAGAACTAATGGGTAGACTTTACTACTGTCACACTGTTGCCACCCAGTCAAACAGTAAGACTACAGCCCTGGCCAGTTTGGCTTAGTGATTAGAGCGCCAGTCCATGGACAGAAGGATCATGGGTTTCATTCCCGGTCAGGGGCATGTGCCTGGGTTGCAGGTTCAATTCCCAGCCCCAGTTGGTGTTGTGCAGGAGGCAACCAATTGATATCACTCTCCACCCCCCACCTCCCCAACCCCTCTCCCACTCTCTCTAAAAATCAATGGTAAAATATCATCAGGTGAGGATTAACAACAACAAAAAATCATATCGTGTTACTCTTCTACCGAAAAATCTCAAATGTTTTCTCATCTCATTATTTTTAAAAAATCAAGTTCCTGCCAGGCTGGTGTGGCTCAGTTGGTTGAGCATCATCCCATGAACTAAGAGGCAGCCAGTTTGATTTCTGGTCAGGGCACATACCCAGGTTGGGGGCTTGATCCCCAGTAAGGGATATACAGAGGCAGCCAATAGATGTTTCTCTCTCATTGATGTTTCTATCACCCTCTCCCTTCCTCTATCTCTAAAAATCAATAAAAACATGTTTTTAAAAAAAAGAATGTCCTTGAAAGGTCCTACATGACATCCTGGCTGGTGTGGCTCACTGGTTGAGCATCGACCCATGCACTGAGAGGTTGCTGGTTCGATTCCTGGCCAGGGCACATGCCCATGTTGTGGGCCCAATCCCCAGTGGGGGGACATGCAGGAAGCAGCCAATCAATGTTCTCTCTCATCGGTGTTTCTAACTCTCTCTCCTTCTCTCTTCCTCTCTAAAAATCAATTTAAAAAAATTAAAACAAAGAAAAAAGGTCCTGCCCTGGCCAGTTTTGCTCAGTGGTTAGAGCATCAGCCTGCGGTCCAGAGAGACCCGGGTTCGGTTCCCGCTAAGGGCACGTACCTCAGTTGCAGTTTGTCCCTGGCCCTGGTTGGGTTGTGCAAGTGGCAACCACTCGATGTGTCCCTTTCATGTCGATGTTTATCTCTCTCTCTCTCTCCCTCCCACTCTATCTGAACAAAATATGGAAAAATGTCCTCGGGTGAGGTCCTACATGTTCTATCCACTCCAAAACCTAGCTGCCACCATATCACTATTATCTCTATCCAATGTTCCTGTTGCACACCCCACTGTATTCACACAGGCTTCCTTGAGGTCCTTCTTGGGCCTCTGAACCTGTGATTTTGTCTACTTTGGAATGAAATTCACCAAGGAATCAACTCACATTCCTCATATAGCTGCTTAAAGGCATCTTACCAAAGAGGCATTTCCCTTCCTAGATGACTGAAGACTGAATGGTCCAAGCTAAATTCCTGGCTGCTAATAGCTGTTCCCAGCCCCTCACACACTATTCCCTTTTGCTGTTCAATTGATCTCGACACTCTTCACCATAAGACGTGTTATTTATATAGACTTCTTTTGATGAATTTTGTCTTATCCTTTTAGAATATAATTGCCAAGCATTATCTTGTAGGTGGTGTTCACAGCTGTCAGTGCCAGTGTATAATAGGCTATCCAAGAAAATTTAAGGCAATCAAAAAATATTTAAAGCAATACACCAAGAATAGATTCTCATGGATAGAAAATATTGTGGAGGCTCCTTTAAATATCACTGACCCTGAGTTTAAGTTGGGGGGGGGGGTAAGCAAAATGATGCTGTATCATGGAGGTCATTGACAGAATAGAAACTTCCATGTTATATGACTTTATTGACTATGATTAATTGGGACATAATATCATCAAACTATCATAAGGAAAAGGAAAGCTTTAAGAAAATGAATCCAGCAACATCATTTAAGATAAACTAAAATAATGATCAGAGTTAACAATTATACAAGGAAAGTAAAGAAAGCAGGTGTGAAGTTTAATAATAATGTGGTTTGGGTTGGAAATAGAGAATTATCCACTTTAAGAAATCAACAGGAATAGCAAAAACGTTGAATAAGCGAGCTGAGAAGGTAAAGAAGCATCTAGGAAGAAACACACTTGGAGTTCTGGACACAGAGTTCCCAAACCCTTGCAATGTCCTAAGTGATAAGAGCATCTTTTGTTCTAATATTTGATCTTTGATCCTGGTTCCTGACAGAGTTCCTAATCCCTCTGAATTTCCTAGGTGACAGCAGTGTCTTTCGTTTTAATGAGGTGACTCTGGGTGGGTTCCTTGTTGGGAGTTGGTTACTAGCAAGATTAGGCCAAGATTAAAAGCTTGGAATGTTCAGCCCCACCTCCCATTTTCTGGAGAGGGGCTAGCCTGGAAATGAAGTTAATGATGGATCATGCCTGTATGAGGAAGCCTGCATCCCAAAGGTATGGGGTTCAGGGAGCTTCCAGGTTGGTGAACAAGGCAGGTGCTGGGAAAGTGGTGCCTGGAGAGGACACGGAAGCTCCACACTCCTCCCCACATACCTTGCCCTATGCAGTTTTCCCATCTGGCTATTCCTGAATTACATTCTTCTATAACAAAGCAATTGACTAAGTAAAATGTTTCTGAGTTCTGTGAGCCGTTCTAGCAAATTAATGGAACCCAAGGAGCAGGTTGTTGGAACCGCTGACCTACAGCTGGTTTTTCAGAAGCACATGTGACAGCCTGGCATCGAGATTAGCATTTGAAGTGGAGGTGGGGACAATCTTGTGGGACTCAGCCCTTACCCTGTAGGATCTGATGCTATCTACATGCAGAATAGTGTCAGAATTGAGTTCATCTGCAGGACACCTGCTGGTGTCCCAGAGAATTGCTTGTTGTGGGGAAAAACCCTTACATATTTGGTGTCAGAAGTGTCATGAGTGTGGGAGTGAATGAGAATACAGGAGTCGGAAGCTAAGCAGGGTCAGGCCTGGTTAGTATTTGGATGGGAGAATACAGGAGAAACACAAAAGGGCTGAGGTTTTTCTTCTTTTTCTTTTTAAATCCTCACCTGAGGATATTTCTCCATTTATCTTCAGATAGAGTGGGAGGGAGGGACTGAGGAAGAGAAAGAGCAACATTGACGTGAAAGGAACACATAGATTGGTTGCCTCCTGCATGACCCCGACCAGGGCCGAGTACAAACTGCAATCAAGGTATGTGCCCTTGTCCGGAACCCGCAACTCACTGGTCCTTGGGCTGACGTTCTAACCAGTGAGAAAATCAACCAGGGTGAAAAAGAGCTCTTTTATGGGAGATTCGTGGAGGCTCTGTTTACATGTCCTCAGATATCCTCACAGCTGTGACACCTGTGAATGACTAAAATAGGACTTATCTCTCCCTCACCTGAACAGATGCCACTGAGGAATTCATCTTCGATTGTCCATGGTGCCCCTCGTTCCCATCTGGAGAGTGTGTCTGGCTTGCTGGCTGGAAACCCTGTTCATGGGAAGTGAGAGACAGACTCTTTGAATTGGGATTTGGTCTGCCAGCATAGAAGAATGTTATATTTTAAGAACTATGCTACCCACAGGTCAGTAAAGTAAAGGCTTTTCTCTGAAGTAGGACATGTATACCCTCTAACCTGGGACCAGAGAGGGGACTGAGACTCAACTACCACTTCGGAGCATCCCAGACACTAACACCTTTCACAAGCCAAGAAAGGCCACTGACGGGGCACCCTCTGAATGACACAGGGGGACTGTCCTCACCCACTGACACCAGGTTGCTGTAGTTCTCCAACATCACATCCCTGTATAGGTCCTTCTGATAGGGGTCCAGGAGCTGCCACTCCTCCCAGGTGAAGTCCACGGCCACATCCTCCAGTGTCAGCAATTCCTGTGAAAACATGGTCCTGTTAACTAGGACTGTTCTCTAGTTATTAAAAGAGAAGGAATGTGACGAAAGTTGTTCTGCTCATTTTTACCATATAGGCTATATCTGCAGTAAGTGTTTTGACTTTTTCTAATAAACTACATTGTTATAGAAGCAAAATCTATCCATATTCAAAATCAATTTGTAGTAAAATATTCTGGAATCATGCGGTCAACCATCATTCTACAAATGAAGTATTTATGTAAAAAGTAGTCATTAAATTCTCTTGCTAAAACTAGAAACATTTGCAATATATACATTTGCATTATATATTTATTTATTTTAAAAGCCACATATTTGCCCTAGCCGGTTTGGCTCAGTGGTTAGAGCGTCGGTCTGCGGTCCAGAGAGACCTGGGTTCGTTCCTCACTAAGGGCATGTACCTCAGTTGCAGTTTGTCCCCGGCCCTTGTTGGTTGTATGGGTGGCAGCCACTCGATGTGTCCCTTTCATGTCGATGTTTCTCTCTCTCTCTTCCTCTCTCGGGTAAGGATAAAAATAAATAAATGAATGAATGAATGAATAAATAAATAAATAAATAAATAAATAAAAGGGGCATATTTGCCAAGCACTAAATATATACTGGTAATATCAGGGTGACTAAAACATATTCCATTCCTACATTTACTGTCAATCTTGACAGCCATCATCAGAATCAAACACAAAGAAAATGCAATTACTATAATTACAATACACTACATATTAAATAAATATATTTCACACATTAGGAGGTATATAGCATCTTTCCAAAACATGTTCAAAGAACAAGAGATTATTCAAGTTCATTAAGGAGACTATGAAAATAAATAGCAACCTTAAAAAAAAACACATATATAGTTACACACCACAACGTTTTGGTCAATGACAGACCACATGTATATGATGATGGTACACCACACAGCCTAGGTATGCAGTAGGCTATACCATCCAGGTGTGTGTCAATGCCTTTATGACATTTACACAATGATGAAGCTGCCCAAAGACTCATTTCTCAGAATGTATGCCCAGGTCAAGTGGCACATGACTGCACATATATGTATATGCTATTTATAGTTACATAACCAGGCAGGTTCACAGCATATCGAATACAATGAAGCTGTAATGAACTGGAAGGAAGATATCAGAAAAAATAACTCAAAATGCATCAAAGGGACATAGTAATGGAATCCATACAAGAGAGAATAATGAACATAGAGGCTAGAGTGAGGTCTAACATTTACCAATCCAGTTTTCGGAAGGGTGAATACGATAATGGGTAGGCACTATCCGAAGATCTAAGGGCTGACACAGGTGCATCTGTCGGACATAGGTGTACACACAGGTACAGTGACAGAAAGTACACATTACTTCCCACTTGTTCAACTGTACTAGGGGCTGAGGGAAGAAGCACAAAAAGAGAAAGCTTACTTTTTCACTATATGTACTTTGTAATCACTAGAGTTTTAAAAATGTATCCACGCACATTTGTCTGATGACATCTTTAAAAGGTAATAAAAGACAAGGCAGTAAGAAGTAGCTCTGAACACAGGAAAGAGGATACTACCTTAGAGAAGAGGATGAACTAGCCCTGGCCAGTTTGGCTCAGCGGTTAGAACGTCGGCCTGTGGTCCGGAGAAGAGGATGAACTAAAGAAAACCCTCTGGGACCCCAACAAGTTTAGCAGACAACAGGACTTTCCCCACTGCCTACTGCCAAACCTGAACTCAAACCATCCAGATTCAGCCACATGGTCACACATGACCTTCGAATGTCATGTAATCCCTCCATTTTCTTAGGTCATCTAGGTTTTATTTCTAGAGTAACCCTGACTACTGCAAGGCTGGGTGGATGGGTCGCCCTGTTATGGTCCCATGAAGAACTGTGCCTGCTGAACTCTTGTGGTCTATTCTCAAAGGGGTCTCTGAGGAGCCCTGCTTTTGCATTTACGAGAAAGCTTAATTTAAGGAAACTGCCTACCATCTCAGCTCTAGGAAGAACCATAAGAAATGTTGTAACACCTAAGTGTCAGGAAATATACAGTGACACCCTCTGAAAAACGGGCAAGTTTTCTCCTCTGAGTCAGTGAATAGCCTATCTTCATCATGATTCTCTGGTTGGGAGGGCTGTCAAGAGATATTAACCAGAAGGTGACAGCTAATGTAACCCATAAGATGCTCCAGTCAGTCACACTATGTTATAACACCAGTCATTTAGTGAGGATCTCAGGAAAAACATTTGGCCTTAACGTTGATGTTAGAGGCTAAATTTATTGCTGCACAAATCTTACTCTTCCATTTAATTCAATCATGTTTTCAAGTCCTCCAGAAATCAATCACAGAGTAAAGGAAGAAATAAAACAAACTAAAAGTCACCTGGTCCTTAATCATTTTCTTCTGTTACTGGGAAATGGCCAGTAACAAGGATGCTGTGTCTTTAGTCTCTTCTTAAACTGGTTAGACACCTTAGTCTTTGGTCAGTGGTGTTCCCACAAATGATGACACCCAGGTCCTGAAACCTTTTCCTCAGGTCACTTGATGTATCTTGTTCCTCAAGCCAGGACCTGTGGGCTGAAAAGCAAATTCACTGTAAGTACACATTTTCTCTGGACCCAGATGTTGTCACCACTGCTACTGTCACTCAGCTGATTTCAAGGCCATCTGTCCCTTTATTTGAATCTCCAGAGGCTATTACACTCTGGAGCAATAAGCTGTAAGATTCTGAAGGTGTGGGCAGTATGTGTTTCTTCTGTGAAGTCGAAGTGGGGTGACTGAAAGGGGAGATGGGAAAGGAGAACCAGCCCAATGCAATGCACCCTCAGCAGGGAACTTATCACACAGTCAGTTCTTTGACAGGGACATATAAAGGGCAAGGATCTGGACACCTATGTCTTTTTTGTTAATCCTCACCTGAGGTGATTTTTCCATTGATTTTTAGATAGAGTGGAAGGTATGGAGGGGGAGAAGGAGAGAAACATCGATGTGAGAAAGACACATCAATTGGTTGCCTCCCGAATGACCCCAACTGGGGCCAGGGATCAAACCTGCAATCCAGGTATGTGACCTTGACTGGGAAACAAACCCTCAACCCTTTGGTCCAAGGGTCGATTCTCTAACTGCTGAACCAAACTAGCCAGGGCTGGACACCTATTTCTTCAGTATTATATGTGTGTACCCATTCAGAAGTCTCTGTACAACTCATGTGGAAATACTTCAGTGTGAAGACAAATGTACTAAGCTAAGCATTACCTAACAGACCATTTTCACTAATTGTTATATGATATAAAGAAACACAAATAGAAAAAAAAATGAAAGCATATAGAGCAAGATTATTATTTGTGGATATGTATACACTTAGTAACAGTATAAAACATGCATTACATGAAATAAGTTCAAGAATGTGGTTATTGCTGGGGAGGGTAAGGGGAATGGACTGGAGGACATCATTTAAATTGCATTTACAGCAATTTATTTCTTTAAAAAGTACCAAAGACAGCCCAGCCGGTGTGGCTCAGTGGTTGAGCAGCAACCCATGCACCGAGAGGTTGCCAATTTGATTCCCAGTCAGGGTACATGCCTGGGTTGTGGGTTGGATCCCCAATGGGGGGCATGCAGGAGGCAGCCAATTGATGTTCTCTCTCATCTATGTTTCTATCTCTCTCTCCCTCTCCCAAAGCAATAAAAAATTTTTTTTTTTAATCCTCACATGAGGACATTTTTCCGTTTTTTGTTCAGAGAGAGTGGGAGGAAGAGAGATAGAAACATCGATGTGAGAGAGACACATCGACTGGTTGCCTCCTGCGTGAACCCAGCCAGGGCCAGGGATGAACTGCAACTGAGGTACATGCCCTTGACCAGAATCGAACCTGCGACTTATCAGTCCACAGGCCGATGCTCTACTTGCTGAACCAAACTGGCCAGGGGGAAAAAATGTTTTTAAATAAAATGGTTAATTTTATGTTTTGTGCATTTCACCTCAATAAAAAATCCAATACATCCTATATATGTCAAGTGAAACAATATAAGTACTTTCTCTAAAGCCAAGAAGGAGGCAAGGATGAGCAGTATAAACACTATTATCTATTACCATTCTGGAAATGTGACCCCAACTTGATAAAGAACCAAGTTAAACCCTGGCCGGTTTGGCTCAGCAGTTAGAGCATTGGCCTGCGGCCTGGAGAGACTGGGTTCGGTTCCCGCTAGGGGCATGTGGCTTGGTTGCGGTTTGTCCCCGGCCTTGGTTGGGTTGCGTGGGTGGCAACCACTTGATGTGTCCCTTTTACATCGATGTTTCTCTCTCTCTCTCTCTCTCTCTCTCCCACTCTATCTGAACAAAAAATAAAAAAATGTCCTCAGGTGAGGATAAAAAAAGAGAACCAAGTTAACAATAATCAATAATAGAGAAGAAGCAAATTATAAGACATTCTCTAAGATGATTAGGCAAGAGTTTCAGAGATTTGAGTGAACAATATAAAAAATAAATTTTAGCCCTGGCTGGGTAGCTCAGTTGGTTAGAGTGTCATCCCAATAAGCCAAGATTGTGGGCTTGATCTCTAGTTAGGGCACATACAGAATCAACTAATGAATGCATAAATAAGTAGAACAACAAATCAATGTTTCTCTCTCTCTCAAATCTATCAATAAAAATTTTTAAAAAAGTTTTAGTCAGATGACTGTTTACAAAATGCCTATCTAAAAATTGATAACATTCCAAACACACACTTCGTATAGCAGTGTTACATGACTATAAATAGTTAGGGAAAAAAGTTTAACACTTAGTATTGAATACTTTCTTTTTTCTTTTTTTATTTTTTATCCTCACCCGAGGATATCCTTCCATTTTTTTTTTTTGGGTACAGATAGAGAGGGAGGGAGAGAGAGAGAGAAACATCGACGTGAAGGGACACATCGAGTGGCTGCCACCCGCACGACCAACCAGGGCCGGGGACAAACTACAACCGAAGTACAGGCCCTTAGCGGGAACCGAACCCGGGTCTCTCTGGACCGCAGGCCGACGCTCTAACCGCTGAGCCAAACCGGCCAGGGCTGTATTGAATACTTTCAATAGAAATATTACTAGAATCCAAAAATCCACTTCTAGAAATTTTTGCAAAGGAAATAATGGCAAACACATGCGATACTAAAGGAAAAGTATTATTTAGGTCTATTAGTAGAGGACTCATTTAATAAGTAAAAGTACACACATCTAAAAAATATTATGCAGTTATTAAAAGTGGTAACAATTGCCTGGCCAGTGTGGCTCAGTGGTTGAGCATTGACCCATGCACCAAGAGGCTGCTGGTTCAATTCCCAGTCAGGGCACATGCCCAGGTTATGGGCCTGATCCCCAGCTGGGGGGCGTGCAGGAGGCTGCCAACTGATGTTCTCTCTCATCGATGTTTCTATCTCTCTCTCTCCCTCTCCCTTCCTATCTCTCTCTAATATCAGTAAAGAAAAATAAATAAAGCAACAATCTATATTTACTAAAAAGACATGCACCTCAAAATTATGTATAGCATAAACACACAAAAACATGTTGAATATCATTAGTATTCAGAGAACTGCACATCAAAATCGCAGTTGAGATACCACCTCACACCCACTTGAATGACTATAACACAACTATGAAAAGGGAGTGGAACCCTCATGCACTTTTTTTTTTAGTGGGAATGTAAAATGACACAGACAATTTGAAACAGTCTGGCAGTTTCTCAAATGATTAAACATATTCAGTGCTCACCTCACTGAACTCTAATGAGCTATACTGTTCCCCATGATTATATTGTGAAAAATTTCAAATATATAGCAAAGTTTCAAGAATTTTACATTTGAATACCTGTATGCCTATCACATAAATTTTATCATGATTTTGTTTCCTTTATTATATATCTACCTATATATTACTCCTCTACTCATCAACAATCCATCTTTAGTCTTTAAGATGGGGAGGAAATATGTCTGTGCTCATTTACCATATGACCCAGAAATTTCACCCCAGGCTTATATCCAGAAGTAAAAACATGCCCACACAGTCCTGGCCAGTGTGGCTTGGTGGATGGAGCGCTGGCCCCAGCACTGAAGCATCGAGGGTTCAATTTCCAGTAACTGGGCACCTACCTGGGTTGCAAGTTCGATCCCAGGCCCTGAAGGGGCATGCAACAAATCAATGTGTCTCTCTCATATCAAAAACTTGTACACAGATGTCATAGCAGCATCATTTATAATAGCCCAAATGTGGAAACAATCCAAACATCCACCAGTTGATTAAGGGATAAACAAAATATGCTGTAATCACCTAACTGAACAGTATTCAGATATAAAAAGGAATATATACTACCACCTGGATAAACCTCCAAAATATGATGCTAAGTGAAAGAAGCCAGCATCAAAAGACCACATTGTATGACTGCATTTATATGCAATGTCTGAAACAGACAAATCTACTATAGAGACCACAAAGAAAGGGGTTGCTTAGAAATGGGGAGAATGGAAGGATGGAGGTGGTAACTAGAGAGCAGTTTTTCAAGGTGATGAAATGCTCTAAAATTAACTGTGCTGATGGTTGCACATACTACTACTTGTACACTTTAAATGGGTAAGTTGTATGGTATATGACTAATAAAGCTGTTATTTAAAAATAGCTATAAGTTGAACTCTAATTATATGCTTACTGAAAGATTTAGGGGCAAATGTATAAATGCTTACAACTTACTTTGAAATACATTTTTTTAAATGTAAAAAGATGGATTAATGACAAGGAGAGTTGTGATTTTGGATAGATACGTAATAATGGAAACAATAAAATCATGATAAAACGGAAGTGGTAGACATATAGGTATTCAAATGTACAATTCTTTAAACTTTGCTGTATGTCTGAAATTTTTCATAATACAATCATGGGGAATAGGACAGTTTACAATAGTTCAGTGAGGTAAGCAGAAACAATAAAAAGTTTTTTTAACGTAATTGCTCTTCTTTGTAATAGTAAATTAAAAGAACAAAAAAGGTCAAAAGTAAAAAACAAACAAACCAAAAGCAAAAGCAAAAACAAACCACCATTCACAATGGCAAAAAAGTGTAAAAATCAAGCTGGTAATGAGGGGCAGGGAAGTACACCCTTAAGTAAATGCAGAATCATAACCTGTTCTTAAAAGTGACACCTGAATATTTAAGTATTTAAATTCAATCTAAATGAATGCACATATTGAGTGATTCCAGTCATAATGGTATGGGGGTGTGTCTTGTTATACTAATAACAGAAATTTTAAATAAAATAACTTTTAAAGAAAAAAAGTTACGAATGTTTATGATATGAAATTAAATGATGAGGCAAATATACCATTGTTTCAGCGATTTATTGGAATTATGAAAATCAAGCATAGAAAAATGAAAACTAAAAGAAACATATATGAAAATTGTAACAAACGTTACCACTGGGGAACAGGATGGGGATAATCGAGGTGTTATTTTATTTGTATTAGAATGATGCTGAAAGGAAATCTTTACGTGTGTGTGTGAGACACACAGTAAACTTGCAGGAAGGGCAAAATCCTCATTTTAGTAGCAACCCGACCATTTCAGATGTGCCAAGTCCTCCATCTCCAACAGGACTTCATGTCAAGATGAAAGGGGGATGTGGGAAGCCAAGGGCTTGCAATGAAGGCGCCGTTTGAAACTCACCCCACCCATCACCAGCTTCAGCTCTCACAAACCTCCCAATGACTGAAACACCTGGACCTTCCCAAACACTGGTCACTCTGCATCGGCATAGTCACGAGACCTGGACCAGGCCCGGGTGCGCTGAGCCACAGCAAACACCCGGAATACCAACGGGCAATGCCTTCAGGGTCAACAACCAGTCCCTACCGCAGTCCTCTGACACAGGCAGGCACCAAACCCGGGCCACGGACCTCCGCCGTTCGCCTCCACAGGCCTTTCACCGCGGGCCACCAGCATCCCTCAGGTCTGACCCCAAAGGCACCCAACCACAGACGGCGGAGCCACCACCGACTGCCGCTTGCTGCTCTCCCCGCACGCACCCCACTGCTCCCAGACCCGGATACCCAAGGACACCTCGATCCTCTCATCCTGTTCCTCGGGGAGCTCCACATACACAGACGAAATTTCCTTGTTACCCCACCGCGACCTTCTACACGCTGCACTTCCGTGAATTCTTTCCCAAGTGCGCCCTCGCTTAGGCTCGGCGCCGGCCTACGGCGGCCGACAGGGCACGGAGGCGTTTCTGCGGAGCACGGACACCAAGACTTCCGGTTTCCAGGAGGAAAAATATGTCCGCGCCCATTTCGCCAGAGTATCCTGGGAGCAGCCATCTTTCGAGAGTTGACATACAGAAGGCGAAATAGCTGTTTTGGTCCCAGTAGCCAAGGGAGGGTAGGAACGGTGAAAAGCCACCAAATGACTTCATTTCTCAGCTCTTTAAAACCATTCAAACTGCATTAACTTTCAGAAGCTCGAATTTGCACAAGACAAACATGGGGATGGGCTACGGTCACCTCAGTGAGGTAGGGAGAAGAGCTACCCGAAGATTCGGAAATGATACAGTGGGCGGCGCCACCTTAGAAGTTAGGTATCCGTACAAAAAAGCGCGACTTTTTGGTGGTGGTGGTGGGGGTGTAGAGCAAACGTACAGGCCGAAAGGCAGGTACCCCGATGGGCAGGAAGAAGATTTTGGGGGTAGAAAAGGGTCTTCAGAAGCACTCACTGGGGATACTTATATAGTCATCAAAGGAAGTGAAACACAGTGACTGCAAGAAACTCAGCTTACCTTTGGGGTGGGGCATGGTTACCGCCCAGTAAAAGTGAGAATAGTCACCAGCCATTGACCGGAATCGAACCTATGACTCTGGTCCACAGGCCGACGCTCTAACTGCTGAGCCAAACCAGGCAGGGCTAAATCTTATTTTTAAAATTGTAACATAATAAGTAAATTTTCCCCACGTTCTGTGATCCATTTTAGCAAATTATCAAACCTGATGAGGTGGTCATGGAAGTCCCTGATTTATAGCGGGTCCATCAGAAATACAGGAGGCCCTGCCTTGCACTTGGCACCTGAAGTAGGGTAGCAGTATTGTGGGAATGGGCCTTTAACCTGACTCATGAAGACAATGTCAGAATTGAACGGAATGGAATGGAATTGTAGGACACATTCTTAACATTGAAGATAACTAGAAAATTCCTTGGTGTGGAAAAAAATCCACATATTTTGATGTCAGAAATATAAGGTAGAAAAAGTTTTCCTTTAGTTGGTACTCCTTTGACACAGCTTCTTTGGAAAACAGTCTTGTAGCTCAAACAGCTAAACACATTTACTATGTGACCTAGCAGTTTCACTCCTAGGTTTATAGCCAAGAGAAATGAACACACAAAAATGTACACATGTTTATAGAAGCATTAATTAAAATAGCCCAAAATGGAAACAACTCAAATATCTATATACTGATGTAGGAAAAAATAAAACGTGCCATATCCATACAATGGAATATTATTCAGGTATAAAAAAGAATGAACTACAGAAACATGATGTAACACAGATAAACCTTAATCGACTTAACCTTTCTGTCTTTTTTTAGCATGTAAAGTGAGGGTGTTATTTATGTCCATAATCTATAGCTTTCAGAGTATTAAATAAAACAGTTCCTAGTTAAAAAAAAAAAAAAGTGTAGACACTAAATAAAAATGAGCTATTAGCTTTTTTTTTTTTTTTTTTATCCTCAACCGAGGACATTTTTCCACTTTTTGTTCAGGTAGAGTGGGAGGGAGAGAGAGGAACAGAGAGAGAGAGAGAAAAACATAAACGTGAAAGGAACACATCGAGTGGCTGCCACCCGCACAACCGACCAGGGCCGGGGACAAACTGCAACCGAGGTACGCGCCCCGAGAGGGAACCAAACCCGGGTCTCTCAGGACCGCAGGCCGATGCTCTAACCGCTGAGCCAAACCGGCCAGGGCGAGCTATTAACTTTATGCTGGAGTTCTTGATGGAGGAAGGATAGCGGCCAGAAAAGTGTATTCGTTACCAGAACATTTTGAACAATCTTTGAGATTATGAAGTAGTCTATTTCTCTCTCTCTTTTTTTTTTTAATCCTCACCCGAGGACATTTTTCCATTTTTTGTTCAGATAGAGCGGGAGGGAGAGAGAGGAAGAGAGAGAGAGAGAAACATCGATGTGGAGGGACACATCGAGTGGCTGCCACCCGCACGACCAACCAGGGCCGGGGACAAACTGCAACCGAGGTTCTGGTCTAATTTTCCCTGTCACAAACCTCCACCTAGGTCAGGAACACGGCCCCTCCGTCTCTATTCACGCAGGTTTCCCACTGGCCCTCCCACTTTTCGCCCTGGAGACGTCAACTAACATTCATCACCAATTCTGCCTGAAAAAGACACTTTCGTGCCTTTTAATTTAAAATTAAAAGTTAATGTGTTTAGCCCTGGCCAGTTTGGCTCAGCGGTTGGAGCATCGGCCTACGGTACAGAGAGACCCGGGTTCGGTTCCCGCTAAGGGCATGTACCTCGGTTGCAGTTTGTCCCCAGCCCTGCTTGGTCGTGCGGGTGGCAGCCACTCGATGTGTCCCTTTCACGTCGATGTTTCTCTCTCTCTCTCTCTTTCTCTCTCCCTCCTGCTCTATCTGAACAAAAAATGGAAAAATGTCCTCGGGTGAGGATAAAAAAAAAAAAAAAGTTAATGTGTTTACTCTGTGCCCACGGTGAGGCATTTCCCTTCCTCCTACCACCTGGGCGTCGCCAAATCCTACGCTGTTCTCCAGCAGCATTGCTGGACGTCGCCCGTCCAGTACAGACACGTGCACTTTTTCCAAGATGGCCGCGCCCACTGGAATGCGCGCGCAGCTGCGTCCCTCTCAGGCGCAAAGCGGAGGCGGCCATCTTTGAGCTTCGTGCGCCTCACAGAAAGGCGCTAGAACCCGGGTCCGCGGAGGCCGGTGAGAGGGTGGCATCACCCTTTGTGACGCTTGCGACGGACGTTTCGCGGACCAGTTACTTTGTGCGGGGGAAATGCGCTTGTACGGCGGGTCGTCGATGATGGCGGCTCTCGCAAACATTCCCACACAGGGGCCGCCATACTCCGATACAGAGTCTGTCTAAAAAGAACCTGAAGCTGAAAGGAGTCTTCGACTGTGGACGGACGCCAGGGTTGGTGGCTGACGCCTGCAGACTCAGATGCCACCGAGGTGAAATTTTACCAGCGAGGTGAGTGTGAAGCGGAAGTGATGGGCCACGTCTTCCCCTCCAGCTGGTGCGCCAAGGATCTCTTAAGCGGGGGTCTCAGCCTGGCGTTTAGGGTTTGTGGAGAGTTGGGCTTTATGGTGGGGGAGGCCTGTGCGGAGTCCTTTGAGGAGCACGCCGCTGTAGGGCGGAGGATTCATTCCGTGATCGAGAGAGCGGGATGGTGAGAAATGGCGCATGCCTGGAATGGTCTTGGAGGCAAGTCAGTGATTGGCATGGCCTAGGGGTTGGGTCAGTGATTGGGATGCACTTGGGGAGCCGATGTGTGTGTGTGTGTGTGTCTGTGTTCATTGACTGGGGGTGAATGTCAGGAGGTCACTGATTCGGGTATCCGGTGTCCCTAAAGGAAGTCAGGAATTGGTTTGTCAGTGCCTGAAAATGTCGAGATCAGTTCTTTAGGGTGGCCTTGGGGAGTGGGGAGTCATTGGGATATAAGTCAGTGACTGGGAGAGTTTGCTAATGGGAGTGTCCATGGGGAGGAGGTTAGTGACTAAGACCACTTTGGTTAGTAGTTTAGTGGGATTTTTTTAGTTCTTACTGAGGATATGTTTTCATTGACTTTTAGAGAGGGAGGGGGAGAGAAAGTAAGAGAAATATCAGTGTGAGAAACATGGAATGGTTGCCTCTCATACACACCCTATGAATTGAACCCACAACGTTTTGGTTTACGGGATGGTGCTCCAACCAACTGAGCCACCCGACCAGAGCAGTTAAGTGTTTTTGATATCCTTGGCTTAGGGACTTATTTGGGGAAGGGGATCAGTGATTGGGGCATCTTTGGGGTTTGCCTCTGGGGAGGTCAGTGCTTGGGGCAGAATTATTTGTCTTGGGGGTTCTCCAATGGTCACTGAGAGTCGTGGGGTCTGGGTGTTTGGGTCTGAATGGGCCAGTGATAATCTGATAGAACTCATTAACTATGAACTGAAGTAGCCATATGGCCCATATTTTGAGTATGATGTTGTAAGACATTGATATGTGAGAGGTTTAAGAGAGTTGGGACTTTTTTAAAAAAATGTTTTTATTGACTTTTAGAGAGAGAGCAAGGGAGAGGGGGAGAGAAAGAGATAGACATCGATGAGCGAGAAACATCGATTGGCTGCCTCCTGCACACCCCCAATGGGGATCGAGCCCAAACCCAGGCATGTACCCTGACTGGGAATCAAACCACTTATTTATGCATTCATTCATTGGTTGATTTTTGTATGTGCCCTGACCAGGGATAGAACCCACCACCTTGGCGTATTGGGATGATTGCTCTAACCAACTGAGCTACCCGGCCAGGGCCTTCTTGAAGGTTTTAAGCTCTGAATGTGACTCAGAACAGGTGACATGACCCCCCACACCCATGAATATTGACTCCACTTTTTTTATTTTGGTACATGCCCCTAGCAGGAACTGAACCTGGGACTCTCTGGTCCACAGGCTAATGCTCAGTCGCTGAGCCAAACCGGCCAGGGCTTGACTCCACTTTTTTTTTTTTTATCCTCACCTGAGGACATTTTTTGATATTTTATTCAGATAGTGTGGGAGGGAGGGAGGGAGGGAGGGGGAGAGAGAGAGAGAGAGAGAGAGAGAGAGAAAGAAACATCGACGTGAAAGGGACACATCGAGTGGTCGCCACCCACATGACCAACCAGGGCCAGGGACAAACTACAACCGAGGTACGTGCCCTTAGTGGGAACCGAACCTGGGTCTCTCCAGACAGTAGGCCGATGCTCTAACTGCTGAGCCAAACCGGCCAGGGCTCTCTTTTCTTATTTACTCACACATTCATAACTTCTCCCCTCTTCTCCTCAATTTTGTGTACCTCCCATACCTCTTGTAGTTTATTCCATTTTTTTCCTTCCACTTAGAAATGTGTGAGACTTTCATTATATACCCACAGTCTCAT